ACCCCAACCGCACAGACGATATGACCATCAGATCGACACAAAATGGAAAGAGAGAGGTTAAGAACATATAGCCCCCCCCCCCCCCTCCCTCGGCTGCACCGCCGGGACATAACGCGCAATATAATCTGACCTTTTCTATTACATAATAGAATATAGTACATCAAATACATCACAACAGGAAAATAAAATTTTGTATAAAAAACAAACAAATCTATCCCTTGAAACGTTTTGTACGCAGAAATACTTGCTGATGTTTTGCCATATGCCTCTAAAATTTGTGGTGGTGGTTTAGTGGTGGTTATTTTACCTGACTACTAAGATAGCTTAAATGCTTGTTGGTTAGCAACCAGAGGACCGACGGCTTTAGGTGCTCTCCGAGAAACCTGGTAATGAGGATTAATGCCTTACCAAAGGGCACTATAGCGCATCGCCTTGGTTTCGAACCTGGGTGTCCGGATTACGAGACCACTGCTCTACCAACTTTTCTTTTTTTGCAATATCTTCTTCAGTGGATTTATAAGACAAAACATAATTATTAAATTGTTGCAAGCTAGGCGTAATCTCTTGATATTTACAACATAAAATGAACTGTTTACCGAGTATAGTAAGAACATTAAAAGCTAAGTTGGCTTGACTTTTTGGTTCAGTAATTCCAAATAAAATGTTTTTGCCTGAAAGAAAATAATCAGGATTAAAATCCGTCGCTCTTCTGCGTAGCCATTCCAAAAGGCTGCAATCTTAGGACATGTAAAAAATAAATGATCCATTGTCTCGGGTGTAGCATTGCAAATTGAGCACAGTGAACTACTTTTCCTTCCTGTACGTGCCAGGCATTCATTTGTTGGTATTAGATTATTCAAAATTTTAAAGTGCGTATAAATTCGAAGTCTGGAGTCAATAGCAACATTTGCTGGTAGAGTGAAAAGATTTGACACTTGTTGCTCATTCATATTATACAGCTCATTGAAACGAGTAAATACTTTTGAGATTTCAGGGTTATTAAGTCTTAGAAAAGTTCGATAAAGTTGCTTCGTCGTTATGTTATGAATTTGTTTGAATTCGGAATCACAGAAAACAGAAGAAAAATATCTTAGATCTTTAACTAGATGGTGATAGTTATGCTGCAAAAAGAAATGCTTCCATGCTCTTGGTATCTTTTTATAATAGTCTAACAATACAAAAAAAAATCAGTGAACTTTAGTTCCTTTTCTACAGTCTTTCCATCGCAGTGGACGTCCAAATTTATCTAACATATCTGCAATTTTTACAAAACCCTTTTCTTTATTTCTGGTTTAAATATAGATTTTCTGTTTGATATATATAGTTTGTTATTCCAAATACATTGATTAGCATGCAATATCAGTTTTTTCTATTCAAAAGACTCTATGTTTCTAAAATTTCCCTGAACCTGTTTGACACTTCAATGTTTAAATATTTCATATCAAAATTACAAAAAATAATTATTTTCCGCCAACTGGTGACAATAATTCTAAGCATATGTTTTTCTAACCTATAGAAGTTGATGTGAATAGTCTTGTAACCCATTCGAATACAAGTCATCTTTAAAACTTCCATCACTTTTCTCTTTTACCAAGTTTTATTCCATCTGGGCCGCCCCATACACATTCGTATAGTACTGTGTTAACCTTATGAATAAATGAATCAGGAATGGAAACTATGCTGGCTACATATATCAGCTGGGAAATAGCAAAAGTTTTAACTATTTGAATTTTTCCATATAGTGACAGATTCCTGGCTTTACATAAGTTCAGTTGAGATTTGATATTGGATACAATTATTTGGAGTTGTGCCATTCTATCTTCAAAAGAGTAGGAGATATCGATTCCGAGATTGTCAAAACATGATCAAACCTTATATTTATTGGAATTAATGGGTTTTGTACGTTAAAGTGTCCTATAAAACATTGCCTTCGTCTTTTCATAATTCAGTGAAAGTGACGAACAAATTTGAAAATCATGAAGCATAGCCATTTAGAATATGATTCGAAATTTAACAAAAAGTATTGTTATGTTGTCTGTGTACATAGAGAGTTTTATTTTGTGAATATCGTTTAACTTTATGCCCTGGATTTTTAGGGTTTATTCTTATATTTGTTGCCAGTGTTTCTATTGCTAAAATGAAGAGGTATGGAGAAAGAAGGCCCCCTTGTCTTACTCCTTTTCCTCCTGGAAAAAAATCTAGTTTAAATGTCATTGTTCATTACGCAGGTTTCCATGTCCCTACAAATTAAAGAACATTGACAAAATTGCAAAATTATTTCCGAAATTGAGACATTTTTGAACACTTCAAATAGAAATTGATGATTTAGAGAAATAAAAGGCTTTTGAAATCGAGACTTAATAAAAATTTCCCAGATTCGTTTAAACCTAGAGTAAAACATAGTCTCGATCACTGTTCTCACAGTTTCTCTGATGAATCTATTTTTAACAAAGGCAACTTGGTTTAGATGATTTTGATGGTAAAATAGTTTTAAGTCTCCGCGCTAAGGCTTTAGAACCAATCTTAATATCAACGTATTATGAGTCTATAATTTTCTATAAACATTTTATCCTTGCCCTTTTTTGCCATGGGTGATTATGCCTTGTCTCTGTGATGTGAATAGCTAAAATTTAGGGTGTCTACAAGCCATGGGCGGCAATCCCGGCGGGAGGGGGGACATTCCCCCCCCCCCCCCCCCCCGGAAAATTTTGAAAAAGTGCAAAACAAATTGTATAGCAAAAACTGACTGAATACTGCAACACACTTTTAGGCTCTGGTGGGCCTAAAAGTGCAGCATTTAGACAAATAAAAATGCAAAAATCTTCTCACTTGGGAAATACGCTCCCTCACATCCTTCAAATGTACAAGTAAATATTGCAGCAAAGTGCAGTGTGAAAAAAGTAAATTACTTGTTTATATCCAATAGTTTAGCTAAGGAATGAAAACAAAACTTCAAAAACCAGTGAGGGGGCAGTCACTTCCATCACCATCACTGCTTTTTTTTCACTATGCTCCCTAGCACTGGCGTACTGATGCCCCCCCCCCCTAATAAAATGCATACATGATTTCAAACGTTGCTGAAATGGCATGATTTTTCCCTGAACTTCCGGGGGTCTGCCGTGGACCCCACCAAGGGCCCTTAAGCAGGCCCCTGGTTGTTCATCTGACTGTGATTAAATGCCTAAACCCTTCCCTGAGCTGCTGGGGCTCTGCCCCCTGACCCCACTCCAATTAATGACTTGCATGTCAGTGTCACAAATAAGGTATCTAAATATGCTCATCTGACGTAATTAATTGCATAAAATAAAACCCCTGAGCTTCTGTAATGGAGGCAAATATATATCATTAACTTATTCTATAATTGATTCAGATTTTTTTATGATACCACATGTTATAAGTCCACAAATAATTATAACATACATTCAGTTACAGAGTGATACTCTTCTCGTGCCAGCTGGAGAAGGGTTAGTCTCTTGTCTTTGTCGGAAACCTTGTGTTTATAAATCAGGTGGCGGGACATCTGATCTGTCAACGTGGGACACATTGGGCATCATCTCTTAATTCTCTGCTTCTACAAACATATAGAGAGAAATATTTGAAAGTAATTAAGAAAGCATATATAGGTATGAACACATAATACTCATTAGATAGATGGATAGATAATGGTTTTATTGAGAATAAAAGAACAACAATGCATCGCGGCCTACAAGGCCGAATTGGGCAATGTTTTACAAATGTAAAATACAGTATATAAAACATTCATATCAAATAACCTCAAATTAATGAACTAACTTGAACGAGTAGATTGTTAAATGCAAAAGATTTAAAGCTTTTCTAGGAGAATTTATTGACCTTAAAGCTTTGACCTTGAAAAGATTTAACTCACATTCTAACTTAACATTAGCCTTCATGAATCTATTATTTGAATTAGTGATTCGACCAGAATTTTGTAAAAATTGCAAGGAAACATTTGTTGACAGTATTTATAAGTCTACTGTGGAAGCGATTGGGACAGTAAAGTGAAATGCATTTACTCTTACATAAAATGAATGTATATGACACTGATAACAATGCTTCAGCATTTAAGAGGAATAATACCAATATAAATTATTTAGAGGAATCATTACCAGTATCATTAATATTTGCATTGGGCATGATATTTTCTTGTATCAACTTCAAAGCTTTTAAACATAAAACAGTATTACCTTTTATGAATACACTATCAAGCACATACATGTAGCTTTGCTCCTACATGTACGCAGATGAAATTAAGAGTATCTTGTTTTCAAGTAAAAGAGAAGATGTGGGACTCAATAAAATTACAGAATTGCCATCCAAGATTTTTTTAAAGGATTAACAATGAAATCAATACCTTTTTAGTTGCTTTATTGGCCATAGTTGCTGCCAAATTGCAATCTGAATTAAATCAATATAAATTTCAATGTGTACATGTAAATGCACAAATTAATACACAAATGTTGTTGGTTGGCCGGTAAAAGTCTCATCTCAAGCTGTTTAAGTTTAAGCAACTACTTCTCAAACGCTATAAACGACATTGTTTCTATGTTCCATATCTAGCCAAAACTATTTTTCGAGAAAGATATTTACCAGATTGATTATGTTTTCAAATTAATTTGCTAGTATATCTTTCATTTGCATATATTATGGTATTTTAGCTACGCAATGTTTTTGCTGGGAACAAAAAAAGCCAGAACAAGCAATTAACTTCCCGGCAAAAATTAATTGTCATAATTATAAACGTGTTTTAAAATATTGTATTACTTCAGAATTGATAGAAAACCAATTATAACATCCCCTAATTTACATAAGCTAAACAAAATTTGGTTACAGACTTGTATCAACTTGTTTTAGTATTCATGCAGCAATAGCCTAACAATGTTTCTTTACCATTCTTTTTCAACGGCATTAATTATAATGTTTTTGATAAGCACCAGTGAATAAAAAAATTAAAAACTTACCATCTTCAGGAGGTTCGGCGCTAACACCATTATTCATGTTATCTTCTACATGTACGTCTCCTAATTGCCAATCAACAACAAAAAAGAGAAAGGAAGAAGTTGTTTAATGTATTGCTTCACACTCTTTGTTGTACGTTCTTGACTGGGATGGCATTTTCTTTTATACAGTGATAGTAGTATAAGTTCACCATGATTTTGTAATTAGTTACCTTCAAACCTGGTAAATTAAATGACCATAAGGTATAGTAGTATAAATCATGTATACCAATAATATTGCAATTGTACCACTTAATACAGGAAAACTTTATAAACTTAATTAAACACTGTTTCTTGCTGTACCTAAGCTGGAATTATACCACAATTTAAATTGCAAGATAAGTTCAATGTTATACTAGTCAACTTCTTGAGGATTAAGAAAAAAAAGTTCATAACTTCAATTTGTGGAATGGAGCGGATAGGTTTCACTGTGTTATTAAAGAAAATGAATACAAATGTGAACAACATTACAAATAGTTGGTATCTGGGCCATGGCTTGATTTAAACTTTTTGAGGATATGCACAGGGCCAAATTAATTTTTTGTCCACGGGGCTCTTCCAAAAAAAAAGCGCTCCCCGTGAGCCTTCTCACGGGGGCTCTTTTAGTGCTGACGGGGGCTCTTATTTTAATACAAATTTCCATTGAATTGGTACCCATGAAACTCCTAAATTCCTTTGTATTTTATCATTATCATTGATTTAAGTCGGCATTTTCCCTCTTAGATTTACTTGTTACATACTGTTATTGACTTTTATCCCCGTGATGACATCCCTCCATTGCTTTCCCGTTCTCTACATACTGTCCTCTTCATTATTTGGAGCAACCTTATTTACATTCTTTCTTTATTTTTTAGTCTTTACCAAATCCTTCCAAACACGTACAGGGCGGATCTAGCTTTTTGCTAAGGGTGGGGGGGGGGGGGGGTGGGGGGGGGGGGGTCTGGGGAGGGGGTAACCCAAATACGATGTGGAGGCCACGAGGCAATTTTTTGTGTTGCTATTTCCATTCCATGGTCACAGCCGCGAAGCGGCGAGGGATTTTTTTGTTTTTGTGCTATTTGAACCCCCGTTATGTTTCCTGGCATCTAACTGTGTAGGTCTGGACACATGATAGCATTTTTCTATGCACATGACTTTTCACGTGGCAGCCCAAGGGTTAGGGGGGTTTAACCCCTAAACCGCCTAGATCGCTCCTTGTAATCTTTGCTGGTCTTCTTCTCATATTGGTTTACTGGTCGAGTTCATTATTTGCTGGTCTTTTAGAATAACTAGATTTCAGAGGATTCACACACTTTTCACAACGAAAAACTTCTCCATGTTTCAATCCTACTGCGATCGTCTCCAGCTCCAGCAGATATTGGGCGCCAGCGTGCACACCGGTACTACCGGCGCAGTTTACCACTGCTGACGGCATTAGCTTGCACTGCGAGCTTCCGTTGTTTGTATCGTCATACTCGTAGAGATGGGAGAGAAAGCGCCATCTAAGTTCCATTCATTGGTTTAAGGTTTGAAAATTGATACTCATATTGTGTTAAAGTTTATTCAGAAAAGATAATCTTTATTTCATAATTCCACGGGGCGATTTTTCATTTTGCAATCGCCCCCGTGAGCAACCTGACGGGAGCGATTATGGAGCTCACGGGGGCGAATCGCCCACCGCCCCCGTGTTTTTGAGCGCTGGATATGCAGCATATTCTGTTCTATTGCATATAAACATAGTTTTTAAAGACAGCATACAGTTTTTGCAGGTTACCCCTCCCCCCCCCCCATATAAATGGAGCTTAAACATTTGAAGGTAGTAAATACATCACAATACATCTCAACAAAACTGACGACCCTGTATATGAAAAGGAGCTCATCACCAATTAGGCTTGAATTTCATGCACACACAAAATAAGATACACAGCCCTGGAAGTAAAACTTTCCTCAAATCCAGGGTGTATCTAAATTTTTGACAAGCACTGTAAATATAGAGGTCCTGATGATTCCAACATCAGGTATAATCTAACAGTTTGTCATAGGAGGTTAGTGCCCTAGGTAGAGAATCATTATTCTAGGGGCCTAAATTTAAGTAAATGTATTTTTTTCTATTTTAGTTTGCATACATATAAGCAAAAGTTAAGATCCCCCCTCCAAAAAAATAACACCTTCGTCTTTCTTTCAACATTTGGTTGAAAGGTTACGTGAGATTTGATTGTGTCATGTTTGCCCAAAATTGAACACAGATCAATATTTGGTATATTTTTTGGTTGTGTATAAAGTAATACTTTTCATAAATTGCCTTTCTGCCTTTGAAATTGAGTATTTATCTGTGATATTGAGTACTTACATGGACTCATTAGAGAGATCTTGAAGAACTTGCTGGCCCTCCATCAACGTAGATTATTTGAAGCTGGAAAACAGAAAAAAATGAATGATCAAATGTTAATACTATCACTACATTAAAAAAATATTGGAATCTTGTATTCACAGGTCAGAACAAGACCCAAGTATACAGTGCGTCCCAGAAAAAACGAAACCGGAGAATTATCAAAGTTTTATCATAATTATAATTTATAAAAGACACATATTTGTAAAGCGAAGTTCCTCCTCTTTCATTTGATGCAACTCGTCAGTATGATAAATATTTCACGTATGAGTGATTAAAAACAATTTGAAGAGAGGAAACCAAAAGTCATTTGGCGGGCAATATCTGAAAGTATCTAGAAAGTTCAAATTCTGGCCTTTCATACGACACCTCAATCAGGAAAATGAGCCAGGAATAACAAAGTTTCTGTTTGTTTAAATGCTTGCATTTCAATATTAAACAATATTAAACAAGTTCCCCCCCCCCCCCCCCCCATGGCTACACGAACTACATTTCATTACGCTTTTCTCACAATGATGTTCAACCAAAATTGCGGTTTTTAATTCTCTTTAATATAGAGCCTGTATAAGGCGAGCCCCCCCCCCCTTCCCCCGTGGCTATCTGAATCACATTTCCCTGCTCTTTCTCGACTATGAAACATCAGACTGAAATCATAGATTTGTTATATTGTATCTCTTTATTTAATACAGAGCTTGACTCAGGCAAGCCCCCCCCCCCCCCACCCCCTCTCCCCCTCGTGGCTACACCAACCACATTTCCTTACTCTTTCTCGAGTATGATACGTCCGACTGTAATTAAAGTTTTTTTTCTCTTTATTTAATACAGAGCCTGTATTAAGCTAGCCCCCCCCCCTACACCCAGTGGCTACACACCAATTGCTTTCCCTATTTCCTGACTACAGGTATTATATGTCGACTGAAATTACAGTTTGGTTTTACCTTCATGTAATACAGTGCCTGTATTAGACGAGCGTCCCCCTCCCCCCCCCCCCCCCCCCCCTCCATGTCTAACAAACCACATTTCCTTACTGTTTCTGGACTATGATATGTCCGACTGAAATTAAAGTTTGGTTTTACCTTCATGTAATACAGTGCCTGTATTAGGCGAGCGTCCCCCTCCCCCCCCCCCCCCCTCCATGTCTAAACCAACTACATTTCATTACGCATTCTCAACAATGATATGTTCAACCAAATTTGTTTTTTAATTCTCTTTAATACAGAGAGCCTGTATAAGGCGAGCCCCACTCCCCTTCCCCCCGTGGCTATCTGAATCACATTTCCCTGCTCTTTCACGACTATGAAACATCAGACTGAAATCATAGTTTTGTTATATTGTATCTCTTTATTTATATAGAGCTTGAATCATGCAAACCCCCCCCCCCCCCACCCCTCCCCCCTCGTGGCTACACCAACCACATTTCCTTACTCTTTCTCGAGTATGATACGTCCGACTGTAATTAAAGTTTTTTTTCTCTTTATTTAATACAGAGCCTGTATTAGGGGGGGGGGGCTTCCTCACCTTTTCCCTCGTGGCTACGCCAATCTTATTTCCTTACTCTTTCTGGACTATGATATGTCCAACTGAAAGTAAAGTTTTGTTTATCTCTTTCTTTAATACACATCCTGTTTTAGGCATGCCCCACCCCCCCCCCCCCCCCCCACGTTCCCGTCGTGGCTAGCCAACCACATTTCCTTACTCTTTCTCGAGTATGATACGTCCGACTGTAATTAAAGTTTTTTTTTTCTCTTTATTTAATACAGAGCCTGTATTAAAGCTACCCCCCCCCCCCCTACACCCAGTGGCTACACCAATTACATTTCCCTTTCCCGACTACAGGTATTATATGTCGACTGAAATTACAGTTTGGTTTTACCTTCATGTAATACAGTGCCTGTATTAGACGAGCGTCCCTCCCCCCCCCCCCCCCCCCCTCCATGTCTAAACCAACCACATTTCCTACTGTTTCTGGACTATGATATGTCTGACTGAAATTAAAGTTTGGTTTTATCTTCATGTAATACAGTGCCTGTATTAGGCGAGCGTCCCCCTCCCCCCCCCCCCTCCATGTCTAAACCAACTACATTTCATTACGCTTTCACAACGATGATATGTTCAACCAAAATTTGTTTTTTAATTCTCTTTAATTCAGAGCCTGTATAAGGCGAGCCCCACTCCCCCCTTCCCCCGTGGCTATCTGAATCACATTTCCCTGCTCTTTCTCGACTATGAAACATCAGACTGAAATCATAGTTTTGTTATATTGTATCTCTTTATTTAATATAGAGCTTGAATCAGGCAAGCCCCTCCCCCCCCCCCCCCCACCCTCTCCCCCTCGTGGCTACACACCAACCACATTTCCTCACTCTTTCTCGAGTATGATACGTCCGACTGTAATTAAAGTTTTTTTTCTCTTTATTTAATACAGAGCCTGTATTAGGGGGGGGCTTCCTCACCTTTTCCCTCGTGGCTACGCCAATCTTATTTCCTTACTCTTTCTGGACTATGATATGTCCACTGAAAGTAAAGTTTTGTTATCTCTTTCTTTAATACACATCCTGTTTTAGGCATGCCCCCCCCCCCACATTCTCGTCGTGGCTAGCCAATCACATTTCCTTACTCTTTCTCGAGTATGATACGTCCAGCGCTCAAAATACACGGGGGCGGTGGGCGATTCGCCCCCGTGAGCTACATAATCGCCCCCGTCAGGTTGCTCACGGGGGCGATTGCAAAATTAAAAATCGCCCCCGTGGAATTATAAAATAAAGATTATCTTTTCTGTTATAACTTTAACATAATATTGAGTTTCAATTTTTAAACCTTAAACCAATGAAATTGAACTTAGATTAGCGTGCAAGATTTCTCGTTTTTATGAGTATAGGCCTATTCAGCTCGCAGTGCCGCCGTCAGCAGTGGTTATAGGCCTACTGCGCCGTTAGTAGCGGTATGTGTGCACGCTGCCGCGCCATGTCTGCTCGAGCTGGAGGCGATCGCGAATTACGAAAGGGCAGAAACATGGTCATGAAGAAGTTTTTCGTTGTGAAAGCGTTAACCCGCTGAAATCTGGTGATTTCAAATGACCAGCAAATAATGAACCTCGACCAGTAAATCAATATTAGGGACTTTTAGATTTGCACGATGAGAACGTGGACTGCTACGTGTGACCTCCTTTTAAGGCAGTGCCAGTGCTTAAAAGGACGTCACAGTCATGTGACTGCCAGTGCACGTCCACGCAAATCTAAAAGTCCCTATTGAGAAGAAGAGGAAGACCAAGATGTCGTGGAATAATATGGTAACATGGGCAGATCTACGGGGGGAGGATTAGGGGGTTTAACCCCCTCCTCCCAGCCCCCGGCGCCCCCTTGGGCTGCCAAGTGAAAATGTGATATTAAAGCGGGGGGGGGGGGGGGGGGGGATGCTGGAGAGGAGGACTACTCTATTTTATTTTTTTCAGGGGGGGGGGAAGTGAAGCGCCGTTTTAGCATGACTTTCTTTTTAACTCTTACTTTCACCTATCTCAGATAACCTAAGTTTCTGGTTGCTGCTTTATTATGTAGTTGATAATGCATGATTAAAATAAAGAGAGAGAGAGAGAGAGAACCACCATCATTTTGCAATGGTTCAGGGTTCGTGTAATATGAATTTGAAACCATTTCTTAGCGTCTCAATCCTAAAAAAAATAGCAAAACTATTTTTGAGGAAAAGCATTATACTGAATTAAATGAAGAATAATAGCTTTATATTGGATCATACTAATACTGATACGGGCTAAAGACAATGTAGTATTTGTATAGAGGTATTCCAAAAAGACATTCTGATAATCAACATTTGTTCTGGTATCATAAATGTATATACGCATAATACCACTGATCTTTATGATTTCTTAACGTGACATAGCTTCTTCTCCCCCTGCAAACAAAAAAGAAAACAAGGTTATTTAATAAAAGGATCATGCAAAAAAAAAATCATTGTGATTCAAATTGATGCAAGGATTTTTTTTGAATAAGCAATGCTTTTCACCAGAATCTTCTTTGTTAAAACGACTTTTACAAATCTCAGCCATGCAAATCTGCCACTGTGTTTTAAGATCACTTTCAGATTAGGAGAAGTGTATTCTTTAATGAGTATTTTACATTGAATGGAACGTCTCAACTCAGTATAAAGCATGGCTGAGATTTGTAAAAGTTGTTTTTACAAAGAAGATTCGGGTGAATAGCAGTGCTTATTCAAATAAATATTCGCATCAATTTGAATCACAATCATTATTTGTCGCTTATCCCTTTTAATGACCTTGTTTTCTTTCTCGTTTGCAAGGGGAAAGAAGATATGTCACGTTAAAGACATCATAAAGATCAGTGTTGTATGCGTATATATTATATACACAGGCCAGTAACAGCTATGTAGCTTGTAAATTTGTAAGAGGGAAAATGCTGATTGAAATGATAATGATGAAATAGCACATAATTGAGGAGTATCATAGGTACCAATTCAATTGATATTAGTATAAAAAAAGAGCCCCGTCAGTACTAAAAGAGCCCCCGTGAGAAGGCTCACGGGGGCTCTTTTTTGGGGGGAAGAGCCCCCGTGGACAAAAAATTAATTTGAGCCCTGGATACGTCCGACTGTAATTATAGTTTTGTTATCTCTTTATTTAATACAGAGCCTGTATAAGGGGGGGGGGGCCTCTTCCCTACCTTTCACTCATGGCTACACCAACCACATTTCCTTTGTTGTCTCTTTATTTTAGTGCCTGTATTAGGCAAGCCCCCCCCCCCCCACCCCCATGGCTATACCAACTACATTTCATTACGCTTTCTCAACAATGATATGTTCAACCAAAATTTGTTTTTAATTCTCTTTAATACAGAGCCTGTATAAGGCGAGCCCCACTCCCCTTCCCCCGTGGCTATCTGAATCACATTTCCCTGCTCTTTCTCGACTATGAAACATCAGACTGAAATCATAGTTTTGTTATATTGTATCTCTTTATTTAATATAGAGCTTGAATCATGCAAACCCCCCCCCCCCCACCCCTCTCCCCCTCGTGGCTACACCAACCACATTTCCTTACTCTTTCTCGAGTATGATACGTCCGACTGTAATTAAAGTTTTTTTTTCTCTTTATTTAATACAGAGCCTGTATTAGGGGGGGGGGGGGGCTTCCTCACCTTTTCCCTCGTGGCTACGCCAATCTTATTTCCTTACTCTTTCTGGACTATGATATGTCCAACTGAAAGTAAAGTTTTGTTATCTCTTTCTTTAATACACATCCTGTTTTAGGCATGCCCCACCCCCCCCCCCCCCACGTTCCCGTCGTGGCTAGCCAACCACATTTCCTTACTCTTTCTCGAGTATGATACGTCCGACTGTAATTATAGTTTTGTTATCTCTTTATTTAATACAGAGCCTGTATTAAGGGGGGGGGGGCCTCTTCCCTACCTTTCACTCATGGCTACACCAACCACATTTCCTTTTGTTGTCTCTTTATTTTAGTGCCTGTATTAGGCAAGCCCCCCCCCCCACCCCCCATGGCTATTCCAACCACGTTTCCTTACGCTTTCTCGACTATGATACGTTCGACTAAAATTATAGTTTTGTTATCTCTGTATTTAATACAGAGCCTGTATTAAGGGGGGGGGGGGGGGCCTCTTCCCTACCTTTCACTCATGGCTACACCAACCGCATTTCCTTACTGTTTCTGGACTATGATATGTCCAACTGAAATTAAAGCTTTGTTTTCTCTTCATGTAATACAGTGCCTGTAGTATTAGGCAAGCCCCCCCCCCCCTCCCCCCCCCCCCATGTCTAAACCAACCACAATTCCTTACGCTTCTCGACTATGATATGTCCGACTAAAATTAAGGTTTTTTTTCTCTTTATTTAATGCAGAGCCTGTATTAGTTTTATTCAGGTTCTCCGATATGGAATTACCAGAACCTCACAACACTAATTTGAAACTAAAATGCACTTTTAAGAGAAGGAGAGGAGAATATAAAATCTTTTTAAATGGAAATGCATTTTCGACCTGAATGACAAGAGTTGGGAAACCTATTGTTATTCAATATTTCGAAAAATAAATAAATAAATCCCTAGTGGTCAATACACATTTGCATTGACCCGAGGTTGCCGGCCCTTGAGTGAATTCAACTTGTTTTGAGAGTCCAACTAAATTTGCAAACTATAGAGACTAGATCTAGACTAGACCTACACTACCCAGAGTGACAGAGTCAGCATGGTCAGACTCGGAGACTAGGGTCTAGATTCTACTTTATGTCTAGTAGGCCCCTAGTAGTACTAGAGTAGACTTTGCTAACTTGGACTTTGCCTACAACAAGAGTCTTAGCTAGTGAAAGAAATGTTGATATACCCTACTCCTAGATCTAGATCTAAGTTTACATCAGAATTCTATTTGAGCTTTTAGTTAAGATCTAAGAAAGCATAGTTTTTAGGACCCCCTATCATCAGTATCAAGGTTCTTGACATTGAAAACACACCGAATTGCATGCATGGGACTGAAAAATTCATATCTACCATAGATCTTACTTTTTATAGCAGTTACAAGACATACAGGTCAGAGTATGTGTATAGAAATTACACATATCATTCTTTCATCAAAACCTCTAATAAAATTACAAATAATAATGCACCATTAATACTCACCAATCAATTTTAGCCTTTCAAGTTTCAGCTTTAGTCACCGCACTCATTGGCACAAAGTTTGATGAGATCACACACATATCGATATTGTGTGTGTGTATCGATATGCCTATGGCATGCTGCGTGTAAATGCACACATTGCGTGTGTTTGGATAACTATTACAATTGTAATAGGGATCCCTGATCACCATTACATGTTAGAGAGATTGGGGCATGTCGCGTGTGTTGAAGGTGGATCACTATTACAAAAGCGAGGATCACAGTTACATGTTAAATCTCTCTCTCTCTCTCTCTCTCTCTCTCTCTCTCTATCTCTCTCTTCCCTCTCTCTCTCTCTCTCTCTCTTTCTCTCTTGCTCTCTCTCTCTCTCTCTCTCTCTCTCTCTCTCGATCGCTCTAGCATCTATAGGAAGGCGTTTAGCAAACCCTGAAAATTTGTTAATTAAAAAAAGTATTCCTTCATTATGATCATGTCGATCGTACCCTCGACCATGACTTGTGTTAGAAGTCTTTGATTTATACTATAAAAAGGGGGAGGCGGCCGGTAGTCCTATATATGACGACATAGTTTGAGAAAATCATGAACAATTTTGTTTAAGAAGAGGGGGGAATAACAAGATAGAAGAAAATGATTAGAAGAAAAAAGAGGAGAAAGGAAATTAAAACGCTTGGGAGCAGGAAAGGAAAATGAAAACTGAGAAATAAGAGAAGAAGATATAAAGAGAAAATAATGTTCTACGATGGAGGAGATTACTCAATTACTAGAATAAAAGACTCTGTTGGGACGTGTCTAGCTATATACCGTATACACTATGAAGTATGAACATATAACGGAAAAAGAAACTTAGAGGACAAAATATACAGTTCCTCAGGTAGACAAAGGAACATCCCTTCACTGCTATTATGTAAAAATGTGTAGAACAGGTGTCACATGCATATTCACCTGTTCTACATATTTTTACATAATAGCAGTGAAGGGATGTTCCTTTGTCTACCACAGTAATTGTTGAGGGTAGAATGAGGAATTGTATATTTTGTCCTCTTTCTTTGTCCGTCATGTTCATAATGATAGCGCTGGTAATATAGCGAGAGGGGTGGAGGTGGGGACTCTGGGGAGCTGCGAGCCACTTTAACTCGTATTTCGCGCTGAGTCCTAAAACAGGCTAGAGAGCGCATCCTTTATTACGTCAGAGCTAGTACGCGTGATGCCATAGGAACTGGGTGGGTGTTTGCATGCATGACTTGTATTAGATTCGCGTTGGCATACAATTGATAACGATCTTGAAGTCATGGATTATCACAAATTTGGAATCATATAGGACAATAATTGGTGAGTGTTGAAGGTTATTTGTTCATTATTATAGCTGATATTTTACATGCTTGTTACCTAATTATTGTGCCTATTATAGTCTTCTTGTCGATTAATTTCTCTATTTTTAGGCCTAAAAAAGAAAAAGTTGTATTGCCCTTTGCGACCGACCCCAAAATCTTGAAATCTACGGTCGGCTTTTTTTTTTACCGTTTTTTAGAGAAAAATATATTAAAGCATTAAAAACTGAGAAATATACCATGTTTTGGCAACTAAAGGGCAATACAACATCTTTTTTTTAAGGGCCTTATGATATAGGTAGACTTTTATCCGAAATGTTCCTGACGACATTGCCATTGAGAGAGTAAAATATTGAATTCTCGCGATACTATGACGTCAACGGCATGCCTTTTAAAGTTTTATTTGAAAACAGAAACAATTAAGCAGCGACTATATAGTTCACACGAAAAAAAAAAGGGATAAGTAGACAGAGAGAGAGAGAGAGAAAACAAAATATCTAGAATTATGCTAAAATGTCCAGTGTCTTTAAAAATTCAGCCATAAAAAGTGTGGTGGGGGGGGGGGGGCGGAAGGATATTCCCGCCTACCCCCTCCTGGTTCCAGAAGTCTAATGCCCATAGGCCTATTAGGGAAAAAATACATATTATGCAAACAAAATAAAAAAAATACAACCATTATTGAATATTTGGTTCCTATTTAAAATATTTCATAATTCATTCTAAAAAAGTGCTTATTTGGCAAACTGTTCTTGTAGTGATTTCTGCGCATCTCTCACTCTAATTCACCATTCTCCTGATTTAAATTAAGTTGTTTCTCACACTTTTTCTCTTCCAATGCAATGCCTCTTTTGATCCTTGTTTTACACTCCAACTCCCTTTTCTTGATCCTGTTCTCAGCGAAAGAACCATTTTAATAAAATAATTTCACAGAAATGCATACTTTTCTTTATTGATTGACATTAAGGATTTTATTACTGTTCTAATGATCCATTCAGAATGGACACAATCTTGAGTACAACTAAAGTCGGATCATAATTCAGATTTCAAAATTTCATAAAGTACATATATTTTAGATATGACAATCAATTCTGAATCATCATGACTGATTCCATTATGTAATCCTACAACTAAACAGTTATACAATTTGCACAGTGCCATCCATTTTCAATGGTAAAGCACTTTCTCTAAACAAATAAAGAGAATATTAAGTTAAACAAAGGTCAATAATTACAATGATTTGCTTCGCAAGCAGGTTTTCATATCTGTGAGTGCAGACATGTAATCATATCATACCATTTAAGAATCAAGATATATATATACTGTTTTTATAAAAGCAAAGTAAGTTGAAGGGACTATAATGTCCCAAATCACTAAAGAATACATATACACTGATGTGAATATATCAGGGAGTTACTAGACCAGCTGGCAAAGTAACTCCCTGAAGATATGAATGATGAAAAGTGTGACCATTTTTTACTCAACTTTAAGTTTGGAATGGAATATCTGGCTTCTATACATACATTCTGCAAATATAATTTGCTTTGTTTCCATATATCTCAGCCAGAACACAATATATTCTTGCGATAGAAAAACACTTATTGTCTACTACATTATGTAAGCTCCTCACGTTTTACGTATACACTATTTCATTTCTAATGAAATGAATAGAACTCAAATCAACCAATTGACCAAATACTATAAGATTTATAATTAAGAACATAAAATACAACTTCTTTATACTATTTCATATTTAACTATAACACCTACACATGAATATATGGGTGATGCATCTTTGCAAGAATACTCTATAAATTAACATTTCTTCAACCTAAACAAACAAACATTAATAAAAGATATTAAAGTCTTGATAAACAGTGGTAAAGTCTTTTCAAAACCAGTCACCTAAACCAAAGTGAGCTACGCTGGTTAGAATATAAAATTGCATTGCATTTGACAAGAACTTGCTATAAAAACACAAACAAACAAACAAGAAACACCAAAGATTAGCAACAAAACACTATTCTCAATTACTCCTAAGATGTCTGTCCAAATCAAAGAGTATTGCTATCGTTGCTTGACAGTTTTTTACAAAAAGAAAAAAATGACATTATATCCAGTCAATATACTTCATTGTGACATCATACCCAGTCAATATACTATTGTGACATAATAACCAGTCAATATACTTAATTGTGACATCATATCCATCCAATATACTTCATTGTGACATCATATCCAGTCAATATTCTATTGTGACATAATAACCAGTCAATATACTTAATTGTGACATCATATCCATCCAATATACTTCATTGTGACATCATATCCAGTCAATATTCTATTGTGACATAATAACCAGTCGATATAATTCATTGTGACCTTACCTTTGTAAAATATATAGCCATTATTATTTCTCTTGCTCTGTAAAAATTTGATCATTAACACATTTATTAATCATATATACATGTACATGTACACATAGATTGGTTCTTACAAGTAAAATTATGAAGGAAATCTATATCATTATTTGATATGGAGATTGACCTGCACAAATAATAGTCTTCATGTCATGTCATATTGTGATCAGGGGTTTCAATAAACAGCTTCCATCATATCACATTCATAATGTTATTTTCAACAAAATATGAGCTGCACAGATAATTATTGTTTTAATTTCATAAATGCCCAGTCTTGAATGTCCATTCACAAGTATACATATGCTTTACAGTTGATACATTTCAAATTTGCTTTAGCTTACACCATACATGAATCATACTAGAAGAAATACAATTTCAATTCCTTCTTTACCTGTACGATGAGATATTTCAGCTATCTGTCTGACAATTTATATAGCATGCATTGCTAAAAGATCAAATTAAAATCTATAAGCAACATTACAGAGAACCATCATAGAAGTAGCATGCCATCTAAAAACTAACATATTCCTTTTCAGGAGAAAAAAATGGCTTCTCAATTTTCACAGTATCACATACATGTAGATAATAAATAACATTTATTGATAGAAATATATGTTATCAATAAACATTTCTTAAAAGTACAAACAAACAAATGAAAAGAACTAAATGTAAACAAACGAATGAAAAGAACTAAAAGTAAACAAAAGATTTCAAACATTTGTTATTTTCCTACTTGAATTCATACTTCTAAATAACATCATCACATTTACAATAATAATATGAAGTTATCACTTGCTTCCACTCACAATTCAGAGCTCTTATGAAAATTGAGACATTTCTACATTAAATTTATAAACCAAATAAACTTACTTTAATAGCTTAGGTAACTTGTGACAAAAGTGAGCATATAAAAATACAAATTTCACATACAATAATGCATATATCAAGATGGTTAGTTTTCTCTGACTTAGTACCAGGAATGATATTTTTATTTTAATCTTAATTATCAGCCATGATATGTAATAAATCACCCTGTAGAATGGAATATGCAAGACAATTTCAGATAGGTAACATTTCAATTTCTATAACACAATCAAATCTAGTGAAGAGTCCTTAGTGGTACCTTCAATATTTTGTCATACATAATAACGATTGCAATCCTTCTCCTTAAAATTATAATAACATGTACAAATAATGCACTAACATAAAAACTGGATGGAGCATAAAATTATTTCATCGGATATTTAGTCAAGGAAAATCTCTACTTCTAAAATAAGCAATATATACAGCTTCCTTTATTCCGATATAAATCTGCTTTGAAAAAGGATTATGGCAAATATGACATAATAAAGGAAAAAAACAGCAAAATAGCATAAGTCAGAGCAGGAAACAGAGATCCTTTCATTTACATAAATTAACAGAAACTTGACATTTTGCTTTCAAAACTACTTGATGATTTCATTAAAACAAGAATATTCCTTTGAGAATTAAATATATTTATATAAATCTATATCCTCAGTAGTTGGAATAAGATCACACTAAATGGTCACATTAAATGTACATAAAAGGAAAAATGCTGATGAAATGTGCTCTTTGGTTGGAATGCCATGGTTTCAGGAATTTATTATTTAATATTGAGGGCTTGCTTCACTGTAGGTACAATAGTGACGAGCCCGGGTCCCTGCAGAATGGTGCCATGTTCCCCTTCTGCTACACCGATGTGGAGCTTGCCTGTGCAGTACTACAGATAGGAAAGCAAGAGAAAGGATAACATTCTTGTTAAACATACTGTGTGATGAGTCTATCTGTGTGTAGGTCACCGAAGTAATTGGTAAATTGAATTATTGCAAAGCGTCTTGCTGATTTTTCTCTTTAGCACATACACTGTTCGATATAGAGTTGCTTTATAGATACATATTATGTTTTATACAACACCTACGTGGATCCTTGTCATTTGATTGGAGGATTGTTGGTCACATGATATTCAATAGATGTTATATTGCACGGTCATGCATTTTTGGTTATATGCAGACTGCGTATCCCTACGTGTATCTGATGCGAAGGCAATCTGAATGTAATCGAGAAGGCTTGACTCCAACTTTTATTTATCTTTAATATAAGGAGTAAAGCATAATTTGTTGATTAACGTTCTGTTATTAGATCTTCTTCGATGTTGTATAAAACAAATAATGAATGTTTTTCATTCGTTCAATGGTGCGAATATTTTCATTCGTGAAAGATTAACGTTAATTCTATTCAACTCGGCTGACACCTCGTTGAATAGAATGTTGATCTTTCAACTCATGAAAATATTCGCACTATTGAACTCATAACCATTCATTATTTGTATACTATTATTGTATTGTATGTATGTATTATTTTCTTATGTTTGGCGTGTGGAGAAATAAGTTGAATTGAAATTAATTGAATGTAACTTTGTTTGAATCCGTGACTTGGCCAATCTGAAATTTGGTGATGGTCATACTAAGCACAAAAGTCTTTGACAGCATATTCAAAATTAATATAGCAACTCTGTCCTTACAATAACTGGTTCAAGGAAATCAAAGGTCCTTGTCTTCGAAAATGTTGCATACAAGTTAAAACCCAGATATACTGAAAGTGGTTTAAATGGGGTCATGATGACTATCCCCGCCTCCATTTTTCCACAAGAAAACGAATTTAGGTATATTACTACTATTTGTACATGATTTTAAAGAGTTCCTTTCAGATAGAAGTTGCCAAGGTATTAGCATTACCAAAGGGGGAATTTTTTTTTGTTTTTTTTTGTTTGGGGGGGGGGGGAATTATAATCGAGAGGTCATAGTTCAGGAATAGTTTTCATAAGAGTTGAATACAATGTGCTGTATTTGGCACTAATTTGAGGCAGACATTCTCACCTTGCCGAGGTCATAATCCTTGTCCAGTCCATACACGGACATGATCTCAGAGCCCTGCGACGCCTTCACAAAGACGATGTCTCCCCTGTGTTTCCCCTCTGGCTTGTAGCCCAGGCAGGTCTTGACACGTTGGACAAACCCCTCCATGGAGAACACGATGTCCTCCCGGCTCAGATCGGGCTGGGCTTCAAGGATCTTGGAGGTGACAAACTCAAACTGAGTGTCGTAGCTTTGGAGGTCCATGAGCTGCTCTTTCAGCTGGAGAATATAGAAGTGGGAAAGAAAGAAGGGAATGACATCATTTGTTAATAGCACATTCTTCCCATAATCATTAATTTTGAATCACATCCTTGTAAGATTTTGTTCTTCTTCATAATGATACAATCTAAATCACTGATTTGAGAAAAGCTCTCATTTTTATAACGCTACAAAAGCCTTATCAGGAAGTGTCCACTAATGGTAGTATACATATATGAAACTCATCCAACACTGTCACTAACATCACAAAAAAATCATTATAATTCAAATCTCTATTTAACCAATTCTTGAATAAAGAATAAATACTTTGATATAATTAATTAGAGCACATGATATATTTTTCAGCCTTTCATTTTCTTTCATAAAATATGCTATTACAATATCTACTAAACAGGATCTTAGACCATTGTCCTATCTTAAGTTGTGAACAGTCGAGATTGGATTGATCTTGATTGATTAAAAGTCTTCAAAGCTATCACAACCTTACAACTCTCTTTTCTTAAGATTAGACTGTTGAGATTGCTTTTAATCAATACCAGATAGCAACTTTATATACAACTGTGCAAAGGTGTCTTTTAAAAGTACAATTTAGAATTTGTTGTAGACCTACCTCTTGCCATTTGGCTTGTGTGTGTTGCATGGCAAAAGTCAAAAGGCTGCCGACATCTTTACCAGCATCCTTTCCGAGTTCCTTTCCATCTTTAGTCTTCGCTCCTGCAAACTTCTTATGGAAGAAATCGGTGTGGCATGACAGGTAAGCAGGTGCCCCATCCAGTGAGATGAGAGGGGTGACCTCCTCGCCAGCAGCTTCCAGGAGGAAGGCCATCTCTAGAGCAAGGCAGGCACCATAGGACATACCAACAAAGCGATATGGACCATGGCTCTGGATCTCCTTGATCTGCTGCACATAGTACGCTGCCATCTCTGGAACGAACTTGTTGAGAACAGCAGGTGTGTACTGCACTCCGTAGCAGGGCAGAGGTATCTGCTGGGCGAACTCGTCATACACAGAGAGTGAGCCCTCGATAGGGTGCAGGAGAAACACTGGCGAGAGCTTCTCGTTGGAGATGTCATTCATCTTGATGACAGTGTCCTTGGTGGAAGCAGACAGCATTGATGGTGAGTTGCTGAAGGCCTTTGCAAACTGTTTCCCTTCGTCTCCATCTGCCGCAACCGCAGCAGCATCAGTGGCGTCCGTTCCAGCGGCGGATCCATCGCTGCCAGAGTCAAGATCAGCCAGCTTGCGCATGGTGAGCTGCCGCAGCTCCTTCATTCCCATCTGAATGCTGTAATCCCTCTCCAGGGTCTGTTTGACCTCGACACCCATCAAGGAATCTAGACCAAGATCGGACAGTGTGGCATCCTGGCTGACACTGCCAGGGTCACTCAATCCAAGGATATGAGCTACGGAGTCTGTCAGCCTGGCCTTGGTGCCCTGGTTGCTAGTAGCGTCCACTCGCTCTGCAGGGACGATGGAGGACACGACAGGGCTAGATTGTGACAAGAAGCAGTCCAGGGTAGCGAGACAGGAAGGCATTCTTTGAGATATGCATCCACCGATCACAGTATCGTTACCACCCATGGTATCCACGACAACACCGACATCACCAATTACGCCCCATTGGATGGCCAATCCTATAAAATAAAAGAAACATAAATGTAATTTACACATCAGTAGCTATCAATAGCAGTAATTAGCATAACGACTGGCAACATACATAACATCTGCTTCAAATTAGTTTGCAATGTCAATAAAATAATATTATAAATTCAAACTATTTAAAACAATCGGCTTATACTTTCAAAAAATGTTATGGTACTGGGCATATGACAACAATATTCTCAACCAGAAATTAGACTTCGGTTCCACTGCTTTTGGGCCTACAGTATGTAATGCCTCCTACATCTTCGTCAACCTTTCAACAGACTTCTGACCTAGATCAGTCTAGACAGTATCATGGTCCCAGAACATAAAGGTCTGTATTCAAGAAGGAGAATTATCTTAACCCATGGTACCAACCTTTGAATGTGTAGTGTGAAAGTGACGTCATCGTGTCTAATGTGTTGCAATAATACACTTATACAGTCAAACCTGTCTATAGCGACCGCCCAAGGGAAACACAAAAAGTGGCCTTTGTAGACATGTTTCAATGAGAAACCATTTTCAAGGGAAACAAATAATTTGGTCCTTGTAGACAGGTAGTCTTTGTAGACAGGTGGTCTCTGAAGCAGGTTTGACTATATAAGCTTATTTATGTTTACTTTAGTTCCCTGGTGCAGGTTCAAGCCATGGTCTAAGTTAAATCTCCTTGCATATATGGGCCAGACAATATATGTACATGGTGGAAATGCGTGAAAGACTGTTATAACCAACTTAGAAAGAGTGAATATTCCTACCTGGAAATCCGTCCTCCTTTCTCTTTTCACACACCCTCTCCATGGATGAGTTAGCCAAGCCATAGTTGGTCTGTCCAGCATTGCCACGCCCACAGCTGACCGAGGAGAACATGACAAACCATTCCAGCTCCTGACCGCACAGTTGTCGGGTCACAAGGTCTAGGTTCACAGTGCCTTTGACCTTGGGGGCACAGCATTGCTGGAAGGTCTCTGGGGTCTGGTTCTCAAAAATTCCATCTCGCAATACCTTTATTCATTTAATATGAAATGAGAGAAAATTTAGCAAAAAATAAAGAATTGCACTCTTTTACTAAACTGTATTACAAATAAGACAGTCGAACTGCTTTGCCAAAAGGCAATGTTAATGTAAAATGCTACATGTATCATAATTCCAATGATATTTGCCAAGCTGATGCTTTGACTGTTCAACTTTGAGGGATAAGAACTTGGCAATGAATGAATGAAAGATTCATTGTCATTTGTTTTTTGGGCCAGACAGAAAGATATGAACACAACATTGTGTCACATTCAAAAATTCTTTGGTTGTGTCTACAGTGAAAAGGTAGAGAAACAATCTCTCACTTTTAACTGTTTCGACTACGTTCGGAATGAAATGTGTTTCATTTATGGTCAAAGAAGGTTTCTTTTGAAAAATGAAAGGTAAACTAACCATTGCCAAGTTGAAGATACCACCGACAGCTCCCATCTTCTGGCTTTCTCGGATCAGTAGCTCCGCCTCCTTCAGCTGGCCGACATCCCTCTTGGAAATGAGAACCTTGATGCCTTGCTCCTGCCAGCAGGCGATGCGGTGGGCTTGGTAACCGTTCCTCACTCCAGACCGGGAGGTCAGGACGAGATTCCTTGCTCCTGAAGAGTTACGGAAAAATAGGAACAACATGTCATAACTCAATGATTTCTTGTTCCCCCCGCTTATTTTATTTACACCGTATAAAGGTAGGTCTTGTTGTAGAAAAGGCATGAGGGTTAAGAAATTAATGTTTCAGAATCTCACTAACAACTTTTTTTTAAAGTCTCTCTAATCGATGTAAATGGGATATTTCCATCTAAAGCCCGTCTGTACTAGTTTGGCTAGGAGGTTTTAGATCACCCAGCTGGTCCCTGACAGGTGGCTATCTGATCAATTCAGCTCTTAATTAACATAAGAAAAAGAGGATCATGGGGGACCAATGGGCACCCCTTAGGCATTGTTTTCTTTATAGAGGGAGCAAGTAGCTACAAGTAGTACAGTAGGGCTTTAAAGTGTTATGATTCCCACAAATTATAAGTTCAATGGTATACCAGTAAATTAAACAATACACTCTAGTCTTTAATGAGTTTACAACGCATTAACAAAAATAGTTTACTAACCATGGTTCAATTAAATTCTCAGGTTTTTACTAAATGAAAATCCAAAGCAGTTAGAGACTTGTTTTAAGAAAAAGTAGGACATCTGTAAGAGGGAAAATATCATGCACAATTGTACAACGATAAGCCAGAAATGAATGTACCCTTTCCAGTAACCCAGATAGGCATGGAAACCCACCAAGTCAACAAATCTACAATCCCTGTTTTGGACTGGCATTAAAACACCGGGAGGATCATAAGATCCTAAGTCGTACTTAATTCTAAGTCGGACTAAAGAATTATGGAGAGCCATTTGAAGCCTTAAAATAAAATATATTCAAAAGCCAAAATTCAAGTATTTTAGACTTTTCATAAATTCCACATCAAAAACATGAAATCTCCTTTAAAATATAAAATATGAAAGATTTGAATCAACATTTAATGCCTTTTAATGACTTTTTAAAAACATTTTCAAAAGATGCTAACGGCTTCCCATTACTGTTAAGTCCAACTTAGAGCTAAGTTCAACTTAGGATCTTTGTGAAACACCCCCCAGCTTGAACCGGCATCATATCTCACCTCTGTCTATGAGCCACTGAGCAAGCTCTAGGCCAAAGCCTCCCAGGCCACCGGTGACGATGTACACTTTGAGAGGATGGCAGTTGTTCTTGGTAACAGCAGAGAACTTTTGAGGGATGGGTGCGACCATCTTTTCCTTCTCCTCTGTTCTGACCTGCGCAAAGTAATATTTTTAAACCATGAATCAATCTGATTTTCTCTCTTTTCTCTATGTGTTTTGAGTTGTTGTTTTGATTTTGGATTGATTAGATGTTTATTCATTCCATATACATCAACATTTACAGTTTTATAACTTTAGATGTTTGATAATAACATGGTATGTACAGAAATTACCTTGAAGTGACATCCTCATTGAAAATAGAAGTGATCACTTCTAAATTAACTAAATGCTTCCGATTATCAAGGTATAATCAAGAATATGTGTTGTTTCTATTGTACTTCCAGTAGTTGTCAAATCATATTGCAATATTTTACCAACAAGAACATTCTTCATACATTAAGTAAATCCATTTTTTTTAATTTTTTCTTAATTGCTTTTCAATTTAGAGGAAAAAATTAAACATTTCTTTAATTGCTGCTAATTGTTTAAAATTCATTTTTAGAGGGAAAGGAATACAGTCCAGACATTTGAATAAAACATTTGAAAATGAAAAATAATCCCCCTAACCCCCCCCCCCCCCCCACCCAAAATATAAAAAATAAAAAATAAATAAAAATAAAAAATAAAACGATTATTTACAAAATTACATCTTCAGGTTGAACATGCCCACCAGTTCCACAGAAAAAAACACTCTGCAAACTAAGGAAGAGCAAATTTGTGCTTACTTGTATGAGGACCTTTCCAATATGCTTTCCTTGAGCCATGAACCGGAATGCTGTCTCCACGTCATCTCGCTGGAATGTGGTGGCATTGAGAGGGCGCACTTCTCCCGATGCGATCCCATCCTTCATGAGCTGAGCCACGGTTGGCCAGTCTGGATTGCCAGCGTCCATCAGTCGGTCAAGGTGGACACCGTGGAAGGAGGTGTTCTTCAAGAACAGAGCCATGCCTGAAAGAGGAAATGTGTTCAGAGAATCAATCCTGATTAATACACTTCATTAAATTTGTTTTTGTTTTTGTTTTTGTTTTTTGAAATAAATCTTTATTCAGATACAAAATCATGGATAACATCATACATAAATATTTATAACAAGCACTTCATCACATGTTTAAATGAGATCAAATTATATATCTATATTTAATTGAAAGCAGATTGTAGATGCGTTTCCTGTATATATTTAATTATCTTCATCATCGACTAAAAAACCGGATGTGCATTAACTCCAACGTTCTAACATCAAGTCAACGCCCTTCTTCCTCAGCCCTTCTACACGAGACAGATAACATTATTGGTCAAAAACATGATTTAAATATACGTACAATGTACCTACAATTTCCACATATAAATATATATATTTCTTCAAAAACAACTAAAAAAAACATACCTGTGCAGCTCTTCTTAAATTGTTAATAGTCTAAGAGACAGCGCCTTGTATGCTTCGGAAAAGGCATTATATAAATCCAATTATTATTATCAAAAAGAAATATTCTCCTTAAAAAATCGGAAATCTTTTAGCAATAATGGATCTCTCAGCAATTGGGAATGCATCTAGCTTACCTAGTCCAGTATTCTGTGACAGATCGTACTTTCCAATCTCCAGGAACCGTCCATGCATGGCCAGTAGCCTCAGACTAGCTTCCAACTTCTCAGCTGCCAGTGAATTCAGGACCACATCAACTCCTGCGATTAATAAGAGAGAAAAAATAATATATTTTAACCCAAGTGCGATACATGATTAAGAAAATACTAGTACAGTGAAACCTGTCTATAAATACCACTCAAGGGAGACAAGAAAAGTCATCTTTATAGACAGGTGGTCTTTATGTACAGGTTCCTTTAATACATGTTTCAATGAGAAACTATTTACAAAGGAAACAAAGAATGTGGTCTTGTAGACAGGTGGTCTTTCTATACAGGTGGTCACTATGGCAGGTTTGATTGTATTAGAGATAATAATAATAATAATAATAATAGTTAGCTCTTATATAGCGCATTTAATTACCGAAGGTAATACCAATGCGCTTTACAAATGTAGAAGACAATAGAAATAAAGACATATATAGAAATAATTACATATAATTATAATCAAAACTTACAAGTAGGCATACATTATACATTAGACAAATCGAAAATAGCTTCTATTAAAGGTGATACATGTAATATTTGAAAATGATTATAATTATACAACAATATAAATATGATTACAAAGATGGTATGTGCTGCACCAACCCTTTGGAACCAGTACAAAATTAAAAGGAAATGTTAAACAAATATGTCTTGAGCTCTTTCTGGAACATGTCTTTGTCTGATTGAGCACGTAGAGTGCTAGGAAGAGAGTTCCAAAGGGTTGGTGCAGCACATTCAAATGACCTGTCACCGAAAGTTTTGGTTCGGCTTCTATTTATTACTAGCAGATTTTGCGAGGCAGATCTGAGTGATCTGGTTGGTAGATATTGGGCTATCAACTCGGATAGGTAAGTAGGAGCAAGGCCATGGATTGCTTTAAATGTGAGCAGGATAACTTTGTAGTGGATGCGTGCGGGAATAGGTAACCAATGGAGCTCCTTTAAGATGGGAGTGATGTGATTGTATTTACTTGACATAGATACAAGACGGGCGGCAGAGTTCTGAATTCGTTGGAGTTTGGAAATGTCTTTGTCCGGAACGCCGAAGAGAAGACTGTTACAGTTGTCCAGCAGTGATGTGACAAACGCATGGATCAGTATTTCTGTTGTCTTCTGGTTAAGGAGATGGCGAATACCACCAATTCTTCTTAAGGCGAACGAAGCTCTGCGACACACCAAATTTATGTGGCGACGAAGAGATAGATGTTTGTCGATGACTACCCCTAGGTCCCGGACAGCTTCAGCGGGCTTGATTTCTCCAAAGCAGAAAGGTGGCAGTTCCTGGTTGCTCTTCATGTGAGATGATACATGTAATACTTCCGTCTTGTTGTCATTTAAAAAGAGATGGTTACCTCCCATCCACGTTCGAACCTCCTTAAGACACACATCAAGCTTTCTGATTGCTCGATTTCTGTCATCGGAGTTCATAGAGATGTACAGCTGTGTGTCATCTGCATACATCATGCAGGACAGGCCATGTGCATGAATTATCTGTTGAACTGGAGTTGTATAGCATACAAATAGCAACGGGCCAATTACTGATCCTTGGGGGACGCCCCATCGAAGACTAATTGGATCAGATGTTGCTTGATCAACCAACACTCGCTGTTGCCGATTGGAAAGATATGACGCTAACCAGTCAGCAGCAATGCCTGTGATACCAAATCTTTCTTTCAGCCCAGTTAGAAGAATATGATGGTCGACCGTATCAAATGCGGAGGTAAGGTCCAATAAGACAAGGATTGCTTCATTTCTGCTATCCAAAGTTTGGAGAAGATCATTTTGGACTCTTACTAGGGCTGTTTCCACACTGTGATACTGCCTGTAGGCAGACTGCCTAGACGCCAGAAGAGAGTTTCCATCAAGGTATGACATTAGTTGCTTACAGACGACACGTTCAATCACTTTTCCAAGAAATGGTAGATTAGATATGGGGCGGTAGTGATTGAGGCTACTGTCGTCTTGTATAGCTCTTATATCAACACTACAAGGTGCTCAAAGCATGGTAATCGCCTTATAATGGCTAGAATACCAATTTCAGTTAACAAGGTATTAAAGGTATTGTTTCCTACCAATTTCCCACGAGCTACACCTGGGAGGAGAATGGCAAAAGTAGATGTTTTGCCCTGCCAAGTGACATTAGTCCAATATGGAGACTTGAACCCAGAAAATTTACATATATATCCTAGCTGTTAAGTGCTTAACCAATTAACTATCACACCTCTGTCCGGATGATCCTTTTGTTTTTTATTTTTGTTTTTTTAATATTGTTTTTTTAATATTTCATATGTTATGTTAATATGTGTTATCTTATAATTCTACATGTAATTTTTATATTGCGCACAGACCAACAGAAGAACAGCCTTTGGCTGAAGTTGGTGCCGTGCAAAAATAAAATAAACTGAACTGAACTGAACTGAATTCTTGGTCTGTATGTAATGTCAAATCTGTAACAACTACCTAACAAAACCATGTCTGGATTTCTTCTCCTACCAGCCACATGCATTCCCTTGAGAAAATGGTGAGACTGATATGACAGTATGGTTATGTGGTTTATGTGTCACTGAGCACTTCGGCCTTAACGAGTAAGTCTTATGTTTCACTAGCCATTGACTTCAATGGGGTGTTGGGTGGAGTTTATTATAAGTCTTTGTGTTTCCTGGAAAGACCACATTTTTTCTGAACATTTTGATATCAAACACTGATTTTGGCAAATTTTGGAGTTACGTCTTTGTGTCACTGAACCCTCGATGTGATCTTACCTCTGCCATTAGTTGCTTTCATGATGTGAGGTTCAAAGGTGAGATCTCGGGAGTTGGCAAAGCTGTCCTCGGTCAGTTGAGGGAAGCGTTTTTTCAAGAAGTCTCTCTTTTCCTTGGTTCCTGAAGATTAGGTAGAAATTTAAATCGTTTGAGTTAACAAAAGAGCTATAATTCTGACGTGATTCAATTAAAATCCGATGCGTTGCTTTCCAAATCCTGAGAAATAGCGGGTGGCATATTTTGCATATAATTGATAATGAAAAGTGAAATTCAAATAAAAGGCAGCTGAGGTTGTGAATGGTCAAGATCTCTTTGCCTAAACATATAATGTACAAAGAACCTCTGTCAAATAAGGAGTTAAATTTTATCAGTGACTAGTTTCTTGAAACCGTCACAATTCCAAGTCCTTTGGACATCCAATAGAAAATGATATTGTAGCATATAAAAATGCTTTTCTTTGGGCATTTCACAAACTCTGATTAAGTCAAGAGTCATAACATGCTATTAACATAGGACATACCACATGTTGTGAAGACTCTGCATCCATAGCTCAGGGCGATACCGATGGCGGCTTGCCCCACCCCGCCAGACCCAGAGTGAATCAAGACAGTCTCTCCTTTTCTCAGTTGCCCTCGTACGACCAGGGCATAGTAAGCTGTGCAGTAGACAACAGGGACAGTCGCCGCCTGTTCGAGGGACCAAGCATCAGGGATGTCGAAGAGGAGATGGTTTTCTGCGGCTACCGAGGTCGCTAGACCATCGCTCTGCACCAGTCCCATCACCCGTCTCCCGTTGCCAAGGCGACCTGAGAACTCCAGGCCTAGGATGCACTCCTTCTGGGCAAGCTCAGCTGTATATACATAGGAGCAACAATAAAAACATTGACAAATTAATTGTTATCAACTTCTTCCTGAACTTCAGATTCTGAATTCTGGAGCATAGCAAAAGCAGTGAAAGGGGAAATTCAAAAGCATGGAAAAAAAGGTTCTGAAATATCATGGGCATACGATTTCATGAATTTACACCACAGAGGTTTCACAATTATCTACACGTAGCTTTGGTGAGATGCAGGTGACATACACTAGGTACATTACCCAGTGTATGTTCAAATACGTCATCACTTCCCAACTTTGTTCCCCGAGGAAAGCATTATGATCAAAACAGAAAGTTGTTTTTCTCGTGTTGTTCTTGTTGTTGGTGGTGGTTTATGAAATCAGGCAACTAGAATAAATGACTTTAATCAGAATCTTTGGGAGATTCATACAAAAATTTCAGGGAACTAGACAATTGGACCTTGGTCTATAAAGGCAAAAGCACTTGTCAAGGGTTTTAAAATCCTTCAGTATGTACCTGGCAGTGCATCCGGAGGCAGCTTCCCGGTGGCAAGCATAATATCTCTGAAGTTCAGAGATGCATAGTACACGCTGCACACGGATACATCCTGGCCAAGCTGTTCCGGGGTCATGTAGGTCATGGGTGAGGCCACCCATCTCAGGGTTGAAAGGTCACCTCGTGTCAAGGTGTTGACATAGGCGTGGCTGGTTTCTACCCTGGAGTCATCGGGAGCTGGAGAAAGAGATGGATTAGATACTCTCTTGTTGTTATTATGCAAATTGAAGGGCAATGCGGAGAATGGATAGAGAAAAATGAGAGACAGATGAGGATGATTCTTAAGGGCAACTATCAAAACTATTAAAAAAACAAATGTTTTGAACCTATAAGTTTGATCTGAAGCTGTATCTTCTACTTAAAAGAATTGTTTTGATGAAAGGTTGATTGGTCATGTCTTCTGTTTGGTCCCCGGGATCAACAAAACAATATTTCTTTGATTTTGTACAAGTAATCCAAACAGTGACATAGCAAGACTAGGTTCTTAATGTTTCTGTCTTGGTCTCGTTCTTAAATCCAAATGCTAAATTAATGTAAGAAAAACATCCCTCCTGGTCTAGACCCCATATCTTGACTACAAGACTGAACTTTACATATTAGCACAGCCTTAAGGAGACAAAACAAATGCTGTGGAAAATTTGTTTAAACCTTTCGTTAACCTATTTTGTACAACCAAAAGAAGCTAACAAGCTTACATGTCTCTAACACGTAGTGCCTGTATGATCCCATCTCTCCATTCTTGTATACATTCATAACCAAGTCTTGCTTGAGGATTTTGCCCATGTGTCCATTCAATTGACTGAAGTCAATGGTTGAAGCCTCTGGGTTTGCATTGAAGATACATCTGTGCATTGAAAAAAACATTCAAAAACTTGGGTTATGGTTTAAACAAATCTACAGATATATTGCTTGGTGATTGTGCCATCAGTACCTGCATCTACTCGACTTAATTTATGCATCAAAGAAAATGTTGCATAGATACACTCAACTTGGAATGGAAAGTATATATCACATGCTAGAATATTACAAAAGTAATAAATGGGCAGAATAAACAGTGACAGATAGAGAGGTAAAGATAGTTTTTAACCCTTTTTTTTTAAAAAGTATATCATTGTTAAGAATTAGAACATACAGTAAATCCTATTCCAATGATATTCATCTGAACATTGTAATTGATATTTCATTTGCTTTTTTGTAAAACAATGAATCACCTTATTCTTTCTCCTCCCTGTTCTTGTTTCAGGCAGTTTGTCAATCCCACAATACCACTGTGAGAGGCTCTGTCCGAGAGCAACCAGATGTTTTCTCCTGAAGGCTTTTCCTCGTATTCTAACATCTTCTCCTGTAGCCCAGTCACCCATGAGTAGCTTTCCTCATCAATGTTCATTATGAATGGTGATGTGTCTCTGGTGTTGCTGGTGCTCGTCTTGCGACATAGGAACAGAGTGGTCAAGACTCCACTGCTCTTGACCGAGATGACCTCAAAGCCACAAGCCTTAAGGGCAGTGGTATAGGTCTGCTCAGATGCGACAGTGCGAAGGTCAAAAGGCAGGATGTTGATACCAGCTGGTGATTGACTGCTGGTGATGTCATGAAGTAGAACAAAGCCTCCATCCTTGATGGCCGAGTGGAAGTTGGACAATGCCTCATTCAGATTGGAGGTCAGTCTGGTCAATCCTTCTACAAGGATCAGATCAGCTCCAGTTAGTCCATTTGTGGGAGTGGTTGTAATGTCCCAGATGTGGGTCTTGATGTGCATCGCCTCAAGCTCTTCAGAGGCTCCCTCAAGCTTCTCTTTGTCAACTTCAGCGATAGAATAGTCAAGCTCGGTTGTGGGTTGTGAGTGCAGGCAAGAAATGGCCCTGGGGTAGAGCTGGCCTGAAAGGGCACCAACCTCGAGCAGTTTCATCTTCAGAGCCCTTGTGTTCTCCAAAACAATGTCTAGAGCGTTCTTGAAGTGTCTCCCCTGAACAAGCCCTCGCAACAGAACATCATCCTTGCAACCTTCTTCAAGAATCTCCCGGATGTCGTTTGAAATACCTTCCTTTGGCTCAAGCTCTCCAATCTTCTTCAATGCGTTCAGGTAGCCAAACTCGGGCTTCTCCAAGAATGGCTTCAGCTCGCTCTCATTAAAGACGCGTCCAACCTTCTGTTCAACATTCCTGAACGGGAACTCAATCCCAGCCCCCAGAAACTTTTTCCTCAAGTCTTCCAGGACTCTTTGTGCATACCCAGCACAGACATTGCTATAGTCTTTGAGGACACGGTCTTTGGACTGCAGGTTGCTTTCGTTGTAGGGCACAAAGCTGAAGTCCTCTACAAGCAGTGGTGCATGCTGAGCATGTCTCTTTGGAGCCACTGTTGCGTGGAGACCAGAGATCTCCACTCCTCCTGCCATACAGGTGTCGGTGAATGGGTCCACAGTGACCTTCATCTCTGGTTGAAGAAAAAAAGATGGAAATGAAAAAAATTGATCAGTATGTTTTATGATAAGATTGGCTTAGTAGTTATTTTTTTTCTTTGAACTGCATTCATCTCCATCTCATTGACTTATCTTTCTTCCCATGATGACAGCAAAATTAAAGAAAAGAAGAGCTTTGAATCAAGCAAAGTATAATATCTCTTCTTTCTTACTTCCCTGCTTTGGTTTTCAAGCTCCTTTTTATAGAGAAAAAGAAAAGGAAGAGTATAGACAAATGTTGACAGCAACAGATTTACTGGCTTCTTAAGTCACATATAAACAACTGCAATTGAAAGACTATACCTTGCATTCCATCCACCTCCACATCAACGAGGGCAGGATTGATGGCGATACGTCTGATGCGGGTTGGTAGGCGGAGGCAGCGGACACCTCTCTGTCTGTTGAGGATGGTGACTTGGAGCATGGTGTCCGTGAAACTCACCCAGTTACCAGACCAAGCCAGTGTTCCTTCGCTTCCTGCAGAAAACATGCGATATCAAAGTAATTTAAACAGTTGCATGTTCTACTTTATTATAGTTCATATCGTAATACCGACTCTTAATTTCATGTATATATCAATATCTTGAACACCTTCCAAAGAATTTCAGGAATGGCAAAGTGTTATGACAAAAATAATATTTTTCTGTCGTGTTTAGTGCAGAATTCATGGGTAAAAAAGACAAAATATTCACCAATGGATGGCATCAAGGATTTAAGTTTGCTGCCAGGTGGTGAAATTTCATTTTAATCATCTCAAACCCTGTTTGTTTGCATGTTTATTTTTGTTGCCTTTTGTTGAGGTTACATACACCCTGCCCCGGTAGCTACTCCACTGGTCTACGAGAACGCTTCTTCAGTTCATTTCATTTTGTTTTTTGTTTTTCATTTCCAACAAAATACAATACATAATAACAAATACAATGTAAAATGTATACAAAACATAGTTACATTTGTTTTAAACAAATCTTAACAGTAATTTGAGAAAGACAAAAATTGAATTATAAATTTAACTGCACTCATATTTTGAGGAAATGGTGAGGTCAACTGAAACTGAAACTTGGTACTGCACACTCACCATCATCCTTGACCCTGACGATGCCCTGGAAGTCTGGACCATACTCGTACCCTCTCAGTCTCAGCTCCTTGTAAACATCGCCTTTCTCCAGGATGATGGCTTCAGCTTTGGAAGAGTCTCCTCCTGCAGGAGTTCTCTCTGCAAGCGGAGTGTCTGGGACAAAGATCTTGCCCGATACAGCCAGTTGGTCTCCATCACCAACCTCAAATGAGTTGGAGCCAGGGGAAATGCGAACCTCCAATTCGATGGTGCCTGAAAAACCAATGATTCATAACCAACGATATTCCAAACTGATTCACACTGCAAACTCTAACATATTTTTTGTGTGTGACAAAATTGCTCAAAAGACTACTCACTGGTTCATTCATATACATGTATGCTTCTCTCTAAAGAACCTAGGGATACCTTCTTGACGGTTTCGCCCGAGTCAGTTTACAGGCAAGGAGAGAAAACTGAGACCAAGTCATACTTGCATATTTTGAACGATTCTCCACCCAGTCTTCATATTTTGTAGTTATACTTTACAAACGCTGGTATAAGAAGTCACCCTCAGTCACACTGCCAAGCTGACTCTAAACCGATCTTTCCCCATTCTGTGTAATGTAATTATTGGGATCGGTCTGTTGTCAGTCTTTTCGATTTGACTGTGGAATGAACCTTCACATATAGCTACTTGATTGAGAGAGATAGCAAGGTCACTTAATGTTAGGAAGCTTCATGGGAAAGATTTCTTTAAAAAAAACAGTTCATTGGCTTCCCGCAAGAAGGCTACAAGATCTACATTGTCGATGTCGGTAATGGCCATCTTGCAGGCAGTCAACAAATTATTCTGAACCTGTCAGGGTGCCCGGTTGGCTGCACAGTCTATCTTTTCAATTGCATGCAGTTCGTTCAGGTGATCTCTCAACACTGGAAGTTACAGCAAATCTAACAAGGGCAGACAGAAAGTGCATGATCTTTAAAAGGCAACAGCAAGATGCATACCTGTCTTGGGTACAATCGTCGCTTGGTGTATGGCGACATCTTTGAACTCAACCGGCATCTGATTGGGCATAATGTTCTTCATCCTGGCCAATGCACGCCAAGCAAGGCACAGATAGCCAGTGGCAGGGTACAGGACTCGACCATCGATGCAGTGATCCTTGATGAAGCAGTCCTCTGACTCTGGGGATACATCTTTGGGAGAAATAAAGAAAAATAAAAGAATCTTGTAACTCTTGATACGTTTGCTTTATACTACAATCAATGACAAGGAGAACATACTGCACACTATAGGTAGATAACATGCCTTGAATTAGTCAAAGGGCAATAGAATATTTGATGTGAAACTCTAACTCAATCCCCTTCTCAAACTAAGAAAGATTATGACCATGCTATTTTGCCATCATAATGTTGGTTTGGCTGTGAGGCGCATCTGACTATCTAAAGAAACCTACCCCTTGACACATTAATGAAGCTTCCAGTATCCTGTTTGACTTGCAAGAGCTACTATCAACAACAAAACAAAAAATGACCAGGCATTGTAATTAAAGAGTTCTGTTTTTCCTCTTCAATGTCATCTTTCATTGTCTTGGGTCTTAAATCAATGTTACGTCTTATAGCTTTTCATAAGGTAGAACTCCAGACAAGTGTCAATGCTCTTCGTCTTCTTTCTTCTTCTTTAAGTGCCATGTCCTGAGACGTTGGCAACCATGGAATGCCACAACTCTCTATCCCGTATTGTATGAAGTAATTCATTCTCCCCAAGATCAATTCCACTTTCAAAAATCACACTTTTTAAGCTACTCATCCACAGAGTCCTCCTTCTACCCCTACTACTCCTCCTTCAATGCTCACCAATGATAAATTTTGTAACGGTTGGGCTGCTACCGCCTTGCTTCAAGAAATCGTCCACTGTTGGGATATCCCATTCTTGCGAGTGGTCCCATCTGATGGCGGGAGCGATAGGGGGCGTGCTCACAGATACGGGAAAGTCCACCGCTGGGTACAGGCTCTCAAGATTGACATCGATGCCACTGGCGTAGAGCTTGCCGAGGTTGGTGAGGAAGAAGCCAAGGTTGTCTGGTTTCTTGCGGTTCATGAGGCTGAGGAACTCAACCTTACTATGTAGAGTTCTCTTCAAGATGGCCTTTGGATAGGAAAAGGAATATTGTCATATGTGATGTCAAGCATGATTTCAAATTTATCTTACGAGAAAAAGAAATTAGTTTGTTTTGCCATTAAAACAAGAAATAGATGATCTGTATTGTGAATGTTATCCCCTTTGAAAGCAATTAAAAGAAGCAAATACCATGCAGTACATACCTCAGGCAGAAATTTAGAGAATAAACTATTTGTACTAAGGGCAACATAGATATATCTAGATCATTATCTAAATTGCATTTTAATGCTCTGATATGCTACTAGCTCCATGGTGACGCTTATTAAAGACATGAGACTTTCTAAAGGTCAAAGGTGAAAGGTCATTCTCACCTGCAGGAGACAATGAGGAGCAATCTCTATAGTAACAGCATTGTCTGGAATCTTGGTCAGGCCTTCTCTGAAGAGGACTGGACTGACCAGGTTGTTGACCTGGTAGGCAGCCAGTGACATGTCAGAGGGCGGAGGGCAAATGTCATCGGAGGCAGAGGTCATGGAGGTGCTGACCCAGCGGCTGGAGGCAGGGCGATGGTTAGTGATCACCTACCAAGAAATGGAAATTGAGCATCACAATATTTATGAAACTCTATTTGGGAATTATCGAGAAAAATCCACTGTTATAATTATGTCTGTAGTCACAGAACTGATCATTTTTCTTTAACGTTCAACAATATACAAAAGCTCAAATTGTTGGAGATGCGAGATTTATTGCCATAGAAACAAAGGAAACGATCAGTGTCCTTAAATCTGAAAAAAGATCTTGTTTATGTGATCTATCATATGTATTGTAATGGTCCAATCTAACCACTTTCATTTGAAAGAGGTGATTTTTAAATTACATTTTGGCTTTTACACTATAACCTTTTTCATCAGTTCAAAATTGTTGCCCAATTGCTGGCAAGAAATCTTTTTAGTATGCACTTAGAACTTACCCTTTCCAGGGCTTCAAGTAACATGGGTGCTATCTGCGCCATGTGAGGCGAGTGGAAGGCCACGTTGGCACTGTTGACAGATCGTGCAAAGACACCTTCTTCCTGCAGTTCTGCAACAAACTTCTCCACCGACTCTTGGTCCCCCGATATGGTGACAGTGTCCTCGGCATTGTGACAGGCTGGAACCACCCCTGGTGGAACCCTCTGTTTTGTCTCTTCCCAAGTTAGGCCTGTGAACAGATGGATTAATTAAACCAAATAAGTTGAATTTTGTCCAAATGGATCCCATTGTAACTTTGAGTTACATAAAAGTCTAGGGGGAGGGGTATTTCATACATCACAAAGCCATTTCAATGTGTAAAATTTCCTTCTTTGCTTTCCATTTATGAGATGTGGATATCATTAATATTGCTGGGGGTTTTTTTTGGTGAAAGTAGGAATATACACATTTTCTCAGATCTTTGTAAGAAAATTCGTTCTCCCTCTATTCTATGCACCACTCAAATTCATAGAACAATTTGTGCGTATCAAATGAATTACAAAACTGTGAATTGTCCACGAGGATAAGAAATCTTCTGTCAAATAATGGCTGTTTTAGTCTTACTGTGACTTGCCCTTTATCAGTCATTTTAAATTCGCCTCTCCACTACCTAATACTTCAGTCATAGTTGTACGACACTTGCTCCTCCTGTGGCAACTGCTCCACATCAATTTCCAGCACCAATCAAATTCTGAACTTCAACCATGGACTTAACACAATACCTAACCCCAAAACCCTTACCCTAACTCTATACCTTTGACAAAACAAAGCCCAGAGCGATTGTCGCAGGAGTAAATGTCGGGTCTACCTCAGTCACATTGCCCAACTGACTCCACACCAACCTCTTTCTTGGCTGTGAGAGGTCATGTGCGGTCTGTTCCCCCGTTTGGGGGGTGTTTCACAAAACTTGTCATTAGTGACAAATGACAGTTTTTGTTATAAGCTACTGAAATCCTTGGTTCTGATTGGTTATCAGCAGATTTGTCATTGATTTTTGTCATTTGTCATTGAAAAAAGGCTTTGAGAAACACCCCCTAGGTACTGGTCTTGTTGTGACAAGGGCATAAGTAGAAGAGATGACCGATATTTACCAACAGCAGCCATTGCTCCGGGAGGAAGCTCGGCCTCCATCACACAGCGCCCTCTCCAGTAAGCAGCCAGGACAGTCTCCTCGGCTGACAGACTATCGTCCGCATAGCCACACCCAAGCTCACCAACGGAATGACCAATCATGCCATCAGGTTCAACTCCAACTGCCTTCAGGCAATTGACCAAGGCAACCTGAAAAGATAAAGAAATGTTGGTGATGGAACCTAGACAAGTTTTGCACACTTGCTCCGATTACAATCGCACCACGGTCAATTTTTTAAACTACTTGACTTCTAAACCTCCATCCTGGACCTAACACTTTTGAATATCATAAGACACTCAGTTCAATAATTAAGTTGTTAAAGGTAAAGGATTTCGTATTTTATCATGCTGTAGCAAAGATTACAAAGAGAAGTTATAGAACTTTAGGTGGTGATGATAAATTTTTGAAAGTAACTTACAATGTGCATGTACATAAAGTATTGTCTATTGATTAGTTGAATATTTTTTACTTTCAATGAAAAAAAAAAGCAAATTTCTTAAAGATGTTCGTGCGTCGGTATAAAGTCGTACGTGAAGTAGGCAACTTGGCGAACACTGAGCCAACAGGTTTTACGCTCCTGTACGGACATACGCATATTAGGGACACTAGTACGCACGGGAGCGCAATACCTGTTGGCTCAGTGTGCTGCCCTCTATATACCCAAGCTTGAGCAACTTTAATATGATTTCAATCAAATCTTACATGGATGCTAGCAATGGCTGAGAAGGAGTTGATGGTAGACTGCAGAAGTTCTTCCCTCCCTTCCAGAAGGATGCCTTTGAGGTTCATGGAATCATCTTCCTTCTTGAGGACATCATGAAGGTAGTCGATGGTGTCTCTGAAGGGCTTTAGTACCATCAGATCCTTGCCCATACCAGCCCACTGGGAGCCCATGCCTGAAAACACATACCTTCCAGGTGGAAATGTAAAGACAAAAGGGTACATTATTGTAACAATGGCTACGCTTTAATGTCCAAGTTAACATTACCACAATTGTGGTAAATGGTACATAAGCAGAATATTTTTTGTACTAGAACAAAAAGGTGCAGATATTGTTGTCCTTACACATATGCCCCCCACAATTTGAGGAATTAAAGTAAGCATGCCGATGAGTATAAATGAGTGACACATAGAACTATCCTCACCATATTGGTCTTCTCTCTGGTGGAGACACTTGCTTGACCTCTGAACTTTGCTCTGACCCAACCAGTGTGTAACCCCTGTAGGGCATACCATTGAGTGGTGCATTGGCAATCTGGTCATACAGACTCTGCAGCTCCACACTTTCCTTGTTCTTCTCAAGATGGCTGATCTGTTCTTGAACACCTTCTTCAGTGCGAGAAGCGCAGAGGACCAGGCGCGGAGACGATCCTGTGGTTTCTACTTTGGTTGACTTCTCAAAGGGTTTCACTATGAGGTGGACATTGGATCCGCCAAACCCAAAGGAGCTGACGCCTACGTAGCCTCCGTTGTAGGGGGTGGGTTCGGTAACGACCTTCATCCGTCCATCCACTAGAGCAGTGATGTCAGGGTTTGGTTCATTGAAGTGGATGTTAGGTGGGATGACTCCCTTGTTGAATGCCCACATGACCTTGGCGAGGGCCGCTAGACCGGACGTGGGCTCGCTGTGGCCCATGTTGGATTTGACAGAGCCAATCAGGAGTGGATTATCTGGAGTACGATCCTGACAGAAGACTGCAGCTATGCCATTGGTCTCTTCAGGATCACCAACCTTGGTTCCTGTGCCATGAGCCTCAAAGTACTCCACATCATCAATGTTGATCTGTGCCTCACTGTACAACTGCCGAAGGAGACTCTGTTGGATCTCTCCTGAGGGGTAGGTCACTCCTACAAAAATGAGAACGTGATTAAATTTATATATTATCTGTATTGATAATATATCTGTAAAGCGCTTAGGCACATCGTTGGATCGATTTATTGAGCGTTATATAAAAATGGAATATTATATTATTATTATTACCTTTGCCTTGTAAGTAATATACTGCCCACTCAACCTGTTCTCTATATAATTTCAGTGATGTCCAAAGGTTTGCAAACATCATATACATGATTGAGAAACAACAAAACGTTGCATTGTCCAAAATGCCTAGATATAAAGATACATTACAAGGGGGTATACAGATACAATCCTGGTATTCAGAAATATGAAATCATAAGTTCATCATGTTTGGTTATCTCTCTTTCATTCTGAATGAAAAGATTATGTTGCAATGAAAATCTGTATACACCTGATTAAGACAGTGCATATGTATTTACATTTCTTTCAATTGAGAAACGACAGTAAACCAAGTTTGCAAAAGGTTTTCTAAACCTTAGTCTTAAAATATGATACAACTTACCTTGCTCTTTGTAACCATCTGTATTGGTACCTGAGTGAACCAGAGATCCATATGCTCTCTTACACACTGATTTCCTGGTGATGTATAGTGCCACTATGCCCTCTGATCGACAGTAGCCATCGCCTGTGATGAATTGTGAGATGAGAAATATTATAATTATCATGCAATAATCACTGTCATGGTAATACGTCCAAATTAACAAATCACATGATTTGGCGCTTTAATGGTAGAGAGCAAGATGGATAAAATTCAACTTATGATAGGCTTTAAATATCTCGCATAGGACAGAGAATTTAGGATTTACTCCCCTTTAGTTAAATCACTATCGTTCTTATTTTTCTAATGGCTTTCACTACTGCATATTCCTCCAGTACACAATCGGTAGCTTTTGATTCTTTAAAAATGGGTTGAAATACTGCTTCGTCTTCTCATCATTTACAAACATATATTTTTGTGGAAATGCAGAACTTTAACCAACTGCAAATACAGTACAAAAGCTACATAGGACAGATATTTTGAGCACGAAGTTTGGTTTAAAAAATATGATCACTCATGAAGAAAACTATCACTCACCAGAACTGTCAAATGATTTTGATTGTCCATCTGGTGATAGAACACCAAGCCTGAGAAACTGCAGGGAGCTATGAGGCTTCATCAGAAGGTTGCTACCTCCTACAATGGCTGCATCGCAGTCCCCTCTTCGCATGTCTTGGATGGCGTTGTGCAGGGCCATAAATCCTGATGAGCAGGCAGTGTCTACGGAGTAGCTTGGACCTGACAGAGTAATGCAACAATGACATGCAAATATATAAGAACAGCTAGGTTCCTCTTTATAAATACATTTGTACAGTCTTCTCAAGGGATTCAGATATGCAGATACCTATATTGTATGTCTTGGATGGCCTTGTGCAGGGCCACGAAACCCTGATGAACTGGCAAGTGTCTACAGTTAGTAGTTGGAAACAATCGGTCAGAAGGGGAGCATCTTCTCACACTGATTTATGCAGATCTGTGAAGAGTAGCTCAGAAGGCTACACATACTTTACTATCCAACTAGACTTCAATGGCATTCAAAGATAGATTTTGCTCATGGGCAAGTCCAAGCAATTTGTTTCATACTACGTTAAAATAAGTCAATATATCCAATGATATTATACTTTGGATCAGACTAAATATCAAGGAAAATGATAATGTTATACTAAATTTGGTTACAATCGTTACTTTGTGATACGTGGTAAGGTAAGGGACACAAAATGACCAAGTACACTGGACTTGCACGCCCCAGATAAAATAACTGACATTAAACTACGTCCGGATGTCTGTAAATTGATACCTCTGAAATCAAAGGAGTAGGACATTCTGTTTGCCAGCATGGCTCGGTTAGTTCCAGTCACGCTGTAGCCCACCAGAGCTTCTGCATCACTGCCGAAAGCCTCAGCTGCATCTGCTACACTGCAACCGATGTAGACACCAGTCTTTGTCCCACGTATAGACTGCGGGTCAATACCTATATATTTTTTTCCAAAAATAAATATAAATTCTGTTAATCAACACTAAAACAATTATATATTCAGAATCACTCATTTCTACGACAAATCCTATATCTAAGTTATTTATACCATCAGCCTTCAACCACTTGTGCCAATTATCAACCATTTACGGCTCGATGACTTCAAGCAAAGGACTTGCAAGAACTATTGTTAAACTATTGTTAAAAATCGAAATGGGGGACCTTCACTTTTTTCGGTGATTTAGTTTGCCTGCCCCATTCCTGGCATCTTGTAAATGCTCATGGGAATCACAATGAGTTTTTTTGAATGATTTTCATTCTTGGTTTTGTATGATTGTTCCTCTATGTAATTCTTTTGTATACACTTTGTTTTGCAGAATAAATAATTATGATAATAATAATAACAAAGTATTTGCTCCACTTGGTCAATTACCTTGGCCCATACATGTGAATGGTTTACAGGAATTTGAACCCGATTCTGAACCACTTGAGTGCCATGCATGGTAAACCTACAAAAGATTTAGGTAAGCCAGTTTAAGCTAGTTAAGCTAGCTAAAAGATTTAAACTAACCCTAATCCTACAAAAGCTTAAGGTAAGCTAGTTTAAGCTAGTTAAGCTAGCTAAACTTACTAACCCTAATCCTAACCCTACAAAAGATTTAAGCTAGTGCATGATCTATTTGGTAACAATAGAATAGCCAGCAATTCACAATAGGGGTACAATTAAGAAATCAGGGCCCTGTTCCATAAAACTTGTTATCAATAACTGTAATTAAACTGTAAATAATTGTTATAAGCTACTGAAATCATTGCATTTGATTGGCTGAGAGGAAGTTTGTCATAGAATATCAGCATTTCTTATATTGTTATTGATAGGAAGTTTTATGAAACAGAGCCAGATCTCATGGGATATATCTAATGCCAAGTAATATAAGAAAACAAAGAATTGGTCTTGCAGTTTGACATTAGATAGTTTATTCGCTAGTTCTTTAGCCTGCTTTCATTGAGTGACGCATTCAATAAGAGAAAAGGGTTAAAGGCATAGACCAGTTCTGGTCATACGATTGCATTGTGAAAGAAACGTTGTGGAATCAATCAGAAAAGGTTGATCATCTAGCATATAATTGGTGTGTATACTGCCAGGTTCTGGATTCATCAAAATGATAAGAAATTTGGCCCAGTCTTGGTAAAGTTACAAGCACTGTACACAGAAAGATGTATATGGGACTACGTGATATCTATCAGGTCCAAATAGATATAATAATATACCAAATATATTAATTAGTAGGCGGTTTTCCGGCAAAATTTGTATCATCCCGTATCATAATCAGTCAAAACATATTCTTTCACATGATTGGTAATAAGAGCTTCCATTTTATTTTTTGAGAGGGGGGTGTTTCCAAAATTGGTCTATACCTTTAAAGCAGGTTACCTACCTCCATCCACAATGGCCTCATAGGCCACCTCCAGTAGGATCCTAAGCTGAGGATCCATGGTGTTGGCCTGCTTGGCGTGTACTCCGAAGAAGGTGGCATCGAAGCGGGACAGATCCTTCAGCTTCCCGTTGCGAGGTGGCAACCCAAACAGACCTATTAAAGGGCGTATTAAATGATGTTCTCATAAAATGAACGTCTCAGACTGTTGAGATGGGGATCAAGGCGTATAATAATCCACAACTTTCTATTCAAGTTTTGGTTATTTGTACCAGGAAAATCAAAAGAGAAGTGACAATGGTTTGGAAATGGAATGTTCCTGTGCTCTGTCTCTCATAATTGGTGCACCAGTGACCTCGGCTAAGATATCTAACTGCTATAGCTATTATCTCCCGTTTTGAATATATACCTTGGAGATATCCTGTTTAACAAATTATGTATAAACCTGCTTTCAATGGTAACCACAAAATCATTTGGTCAATTTGTTTTCTTTTAACGCACATCAGATTACAATTTTCATTTTACTGATATTAAAATCCAGCATCCAAGGGTCTACAGAGTACAGTCTGAAATTTATTCTTTATTTTGTATAACTTTCAAATTTTATTTGAAAAATTAGAGCTTGAAGATTCTCACAGATTCTTTTTTGAGGAAAGGTTTATAATGAACTTTAAAGTGTCTGTTGAGATTCCTGACTGCTAAATTCACTCTTACATGTATCATGTATTTTGTATAAGATCAAACTGGAGTAGTTTGAGATCATCTGACAGAAAAAGAGGAGCTCCAACAAATCTCAGCAAGAACAGTTCCCTCAAGAAGATTTAAAGCCTGTCTGTACTGGTTTAGCCAGGAGGGATTAGACCACCCAGCATGGTAACTGACAGGTGGTTATCTCTTCACTTCAGCTCTCAATTAACATAAGAAAAAGAGGATCATAGGGGACCAACATGCACCGCTTAGGCATTGTTTTCTAAATAGAGGGAGCAAGTAGCTACAAGTAGTGCAGTGGGGCTTTAAACCCAGATGAAAATTGTTGTCCAATTACCTGGTTCCCATCTTCTGTCGTCAATGGTCACCAGGTTATCCTTGTTCATGAGATGTTCCCAGAACTCCTCCAAGTTGTCCGACTCTGGAAGACGTCCTGAGATACCGCTGACGACGATGTCATCTTCGTCAAGAACTCCCATGGTAATAAGAGTAGCTTCTTCTTAATTCTGTAAGAACAAAGTGTAAACATTTGCACAAAGTGCATTTTAGCAATAGTGTAAAATCTTGATTATTTCTTTATTTTTAACAATCACTCTTCATCATTTTTAAAACACATTCTTTTCCTTGTCCATAATAATATTTGGTATCACTTCATATCATTTCCTAATATGCAGACAGGTTTTTGTACAATCATGCATTATCATAGCTCTGATCATAAATAAGCAATAGCAAGGCCTTGAATAATGTAAATTATCATGTCAAAAAATCAGTCAAATCATGTAACAAACATTGCACAATAAAATTAAACTTTTTTTATGCAATGTTTTTTTAAACAATTAATGCAAATGTACAAAAGAATCAAGGCTTACAGTATATCACTTAGATATTAAACTCATCAAATCATTTTTGTCATGCACACAAGTGCAATGTATGCATGAATGTTACTCTGTGTATATTATATAGACTTAAAGATAATTGAAATCAAAGACTACACAAGTTATTTTGGGGGTTCATTGTCTGCCACGGTTTAAACTTGTGATGAGTTGGGTACGATTGTTTTAATGTAAAATTCAGTGTCTGCATCATGACTGTACATGTTACTCTGTGACAACTAAAGGTGATTGAAATTGAAGACTACACAAGTTATTTTGGGGTTCATTCTGCCACGGTTTCAACTCGTGATAAATATACATAATTAAAATCAAAGAAGTAACAATTTATTTTGTCACAGGTTCAATGTTTGCAGGGTTGTAACTCTGCAATAGCCAAACATATAAATTGTAGCGGCTCTTACATTCGCCCTACTTTTATCGTACATTCATGTTCACAGTTATTTTCCATCACGCTACTTATTTATATTCATTTATTCGGACCACGTGTGTATTACCTTTCAATCGCGCAACTCTGCAATAGCCAAACATATAAATCAAGAACAATGACTATCTTTATAAGTCAATACAACAGATACATGTACATGTACATAAAACACTTCAGCCGACTCAAGTGTTTGCATAAGTCATATGTTTGCAATTCACGTATGCCGCTATCTCCTCGTCCAATAATTCAAGTGTGATTGCAAAATTTACCTGATGTTACAGATATAGCATTCAATTAAATGCATATTCAGCAAACACTTGAACTCATGCCAAGATGCCCACAATTGTAGTGCCAAGACACATTAATTTGCTCATGAGTTCTTCACTGTCTTTTCTAGTGACAATGTGCTTGGATTGTATTTTATATATACTTATAAACAAGGGGGCCATCACCATTTTTTCTTGAGGGGAAAACCATTTACCCCCTATCCCTACAAAACTCCAATGTGATCTATTCAGTTCACTGACTTATTTATGCAACTTTTCAATGTTTGAACTTTTGAGTTTGATGGATTTTTACTTTTATAATTATAGTATGGAAGCAGACATGATAGATTTCAGTTTGTCCGATCGGCTATTCTTATCGAGATCATCATCCGGAAAATGGCATCATGCATTTTACATAATGCCCTATTTTAGTTTTAATAATTTTTGAATGGGCACTCAACCACTCACAAAATCCCAGCCCAACGCAGTCAAGCGCCGGGCAGCCGAGCCTGTTGCCCGGAACAGCGGCAACAGCCGCAGTATGCGTCCTACCAAAAAGTTACCTCGCGCCTTGAGCGATGTCCGACTGATCTGGCGCAAATGAGTTTGTGCTCATGTACCTGTAGCTGTCAAGTATCAAATCTAATTTCTCACTTCTATACAGAGAAAGTGATAACTTTATGACACAAATCTTTATAAATACCATGGTAAATACTTCAAATTGTCGTGCACCCATAGCACGCGTATATAACATGGAGCGAAATTCAAAGAGATTCGATCATACACAGTCGGTGTGTCCTCTTACGAATAGCTCCATTTAACAATAGTGCAATGCATGTACATTACTTTCCCCTTGGCCCTGGCGCAAGGTAGGTGGATTGGGGGTGGGGGGGGGGGGTGGAGGAGGACCTGTCGCCCCCAATATACTGTAAATACCTTGTTTACCAACACTTTTGTCATTTGACTTATTGTTATATATTTTGTTTCTTTTTTAAAACTTAATGACTAAGGAGAAGCTAGCTCTCATCCATTCTTTTTTCCCCCATGCATTGGCAATTAATATCATATTTCAATGCATTTCAAAATATACATGAACAGAATTATTCTTTTCACGCAAAAAATACCTATTTTTTTTTTTTAATATTACAGTTATTTTTGCTGAGTTTGCATCATTACATCGATCCAGACTATACCGGTACCCAATCCTGGAGTAGTTGTTCAAGCCTGTACGGCTTTAGCGATTAAAAATGGAGTTCCAAGGATTTTTCATTCTTAATCCGTTTCCCTTGCCCCCTCAATGTTTGTTTATTTCCTCAGTTAAGAAAATGAAAAGTTGGTTTTCACGTATCTTGAACCGTTTTCACACTCAGTAGGGATAGAAAAGGGGAAAATCTAGATTATTTTTTGTTAAAGGTGCGGAGTCTGCGGACTTAGTATGGACCCAAAAATTGGTAGAACAAATTATATTGAATACACCATTGACCAGCCTATATCAGGGACGCCTGAACAACTCACCTCCGACTGTCTAGACCAGACCTAGGAGTCATTTGATCCAATTCAAGATAAATGTACATGATGTATGTGCATGCATTCCATACATGTCCGCCCCTCGATCATGCTACATTTCCATTCTATTTCCACTTCACATGATTCTAATCATTCTATTGATTCAGAACACCTCATGATCACCCTTCCATATAATGTCTATTGGATTGGTTCCAATTCCTTCTCCCTTGGTTGTTCCATTATGTTGTACTAGCTATTCCATTTTTATGTTTCTGACCGATTCTTTATTTATGTCATTTATGGTGATATCTGTTGAAATTGAGTTTCTCTTTATTATTCAAAGGCAGCGCAACTCAGGATCTGGTCTAGTGAAGACATCATTTTATTTTCGTCTCCTTTTAATCAGATTTAGCAGTTTATTTGAGAGCAAGTGTTTATAAGTTGATTTCAGCAAGAGTTCAGTATTTGAGAGCAGAGTTTGAGAGAAGCAGTTTTGTACGTTTAGGGCAATGCAAGTCTACCCTTGCGCTGCATTCAAGGCTTGATTGCCTGTGCATGGATAAGCCGATTTACCGGTTTATCAGCTGTTGAGAGCATGCAGTGGAGGTGTGTCAGGTAGGGACGATTTCATTGGTTGATATATCAACATTCGGCTGAGGCTTCGGAGGTGTGTCACAATGGTGCGTTGTAATTGGTCAACAGCCGTCGCATTGTTAAGCAGCAGTAAGTCGCGCGATAACAGGGATGCAAATTCACAGTGAGTGTACCGTGACAAATTCGATTTCTGGTAGGAGTTCCAGTGGCATAGCGTGGGAAAATGGAAACTCTTTCCCTCGGCACGAATAGTCTTATCTTCGTGTAAATGTAATCGATGCGAAGTGAGTGAACACAATCATGAACATGGAAATAGGGATGGAAACGAGACTGTGATAAAGCATCACAATCGTTATTTAGAAGGGAAAAAAGGTGCATGTAGATCTACTGTAACAAACAAAACATTAGAATACGATTTTAATTGTGAAGTGCATAGGGGTCTAAACATATACATTACACAAACTTTCAAATTGAATTAATTATACACAAATTCATCATAATCGGAAAGCTCACATTTTAAAATATATTTAGGCCAAAGTCCACAAATAATCACAGAAACACAAGTAAAAAAATGTTAAACAACAAAACCGATAAATATAGAAGCCCCCCTCCCCATACATTAATTGACCATCCTGCATCCCTCCCCCTTTTTTTCTTCCCCATTCCCCCCCCCCCCCCCTCTCTCTCTCATTCTTCCCTCCCTTCCGCGTTCCGCTCTCTATCTCTCCCTTCTCTCTCTTCCTTCCTTCCTCGATCTCCCCTTTCTCTGTCCATTTTTCGACAAGCTGAGTTACGAACCGAAACTGACAAACTAGAAATTTTGAATTTGAAGAGATTTTTAATTAACGCAATAACGGTTATGACGAAGAAAGTCGTAGTTACGACTAAAATAATTGCAAATAATTGATGCTGTAAGTACGCATTAATATTTAATTACTTCTTGAAAAACTAGAAGTTTGTGCATTTATCCAACTCCAAGAGAAAACAGAGACAGAAATCTTACCTCTCTGTCACAAGCAGAAAGCTGGCCTGGCCTAGGAAAACCTTCCGTTCTGGTCGACAAGTGATGAGGAGAAAACGATGCTCAAAATCGTAATTTAGAAGCGTAAAATCACAAAATTTGACACATGATTTCAAATATCAATCAAGACAAGTAGATATGATCCCGTCAGCTCGCCGGTGCAGATACTCCTGAGACTGAGATGCGAGTGCACTAGATGCAAGCACCCACCACCATTTATAGACTTTTTTATCTACAACTTACAACTACAAGGTTGATAACAATTTTCTCCTTTTTCACCCGGCCGTATCTTATCTCGGCTCCTTCTTCTCTTACTCAGCTCACCCGCTGTTGCTGGCGAATGGATTGTGCGCGTGCGGCAACCATACAGTTTAGCTAGGCAGCATCGCACGATAAATCGTCAGTGCGACCCAACTTGACCCCAAAATCCACATTGCTCACACGTGTGCCTGCCTGTCCTAGCCATGCTCATCGACCAATCAAGCGCATCGTATGCCGCCGGCGCCCATCTAATTTGCATACGTAAACTGAGAAAGTTTGTTGACACCATTTATGTAGGAGTCATCAGGCAGGAAACTGCAACGTTTAGAAACAATGGTAGGATGTCGCTATGTGTATTAATGTATTATCAAAACAATTATTGTGTACCGCTCCGAAAAGAGAATTTTGTTGGCTACTCAAACTCGAGTACGTATCGGAATAGACCCTAGGCATTTTCCCCCCTATGATGCATGCTGCAAAAACGTGATACATTAGCGGAATGACCTGGGAATCGTGGATCTAAAATGACATACATGT